TCACAATTGTTTTGGACCTTTGACTACTTCTGTAGGTTTTATAAGCAGGTCATTAACTTCTACAAACTGGGATGGTTTTGAACATTTTTTTATTGTTTTTTAAATTTTTTACTAGTGAATTTCCGTGAAGAACAGTTACAGACTTACAAACTTTCGTGCTTGCATTTCAGTTTTACAGTGATCGAGTACCCATCCCTCCACCAGTTCCCATTTTCCACCACCAGTGGTCCCAGCATCCCTCCCACCACCTCCACTTGAACATTTTTAGATCTGTGTTTTAACAACCGCTAGCAAGGTGACAAAGCAAAGGAGTAGTAGGTGAGAGATGTGTCTCAGTGGAAGAAGTGGAAGAGTACTTGTCTAGCATGTGTTAGTCCCTGGGTTTCATTCCCAGCACCTTATGGTCACCTCCAGGAGCACTGCCTGGATTGACCCCTGAGTATCAGCTGAGAGTAGCCCCTAAGAACCACTAGTTGTGATCCAAACCATAGACACAATAAATAACAGCATAAACTGTAGCATTGACATTAACTTTCTGGTGTTCTAAGAGTAAACCTAGTTAGGGCCAGGGAGGTAGCTCAGTACAAGCTCAGTATTAGAGCTTGCATGTTTGAGCCTTGGATTCCGTCCCCAGAACTGAAAACAAAAAGTACATCTTTTTATCCAAATAAGATTAGAGGCAGAATTGTGTGGGTATATTCAAGATTCTTTGTTGTTTTCGGGCCACACCTGGCCATGTTCAGGACTTACTCTTGGGTTCTACGGGGGGGGGGGGGGGGGGGGGGGGGAGGGCGGGGGTGTCACTTTTTTTTTTGTATTTCATACTGAATTCCTCAAATAGCGAACGACTTAAATTACATAATGTTTCATAGCTCTACTTTTGCATCTGTTCCTGTTGTTTTCTTGACCATTCATATCATTTGAATACTTTGATTTCAGAAGTCTCTTATGCCTCTCTTGAAATATCTGCTATCAATGAAATTGGTTATGCTATTGTGCACCCACCATATCATAGTCTAGATCCTCCTCCACATTTATAATTCTGGCTTTAAAGATTTGTCCTTCTTTTCTAGTCTGAAATTTTTTTATGTGTAGGGCCTATTTTTCGTGTGCTTGATAAACTCCATAGAGAGATACTGATACTCACCACTAATAATTTTAATGGATGGATGAACCCTGCCTACAAATTTGGGAATAGGGAAATTTTAGTTTTGTCTGTATTATTTTGTTATTTCTAACCAGTAGAATGTTGGTGTGGTTCTGTAATATCTACTTTCAAAGATTTGAAAGATTTTATTTCCAATCAGGTAAAACTATTTCCTATAATTTATTTAAGTGAACAATTTTTCTTAGAACCTAACAAATACTGAAGAAAAAGCTTTTCAAATTAAGTGTATTGCTTCTTATAAAACATTTGCCCCTTAACTCTGGAGCTTTCTTAAAAGAGATAAACATTGCAGAACGGTATCCAATGTAAAACATTTATTTATATAATAGATGTCTTATAAAGAGAGCCATTTATTTTATGATTTTTTTTTCATTTTAGCATTTATGACATTAACAGAGAACAGGACTGTGTCAAGAATTCTGAGGGTATACTTGGTGAAAATGAATTAAGACCATCTTCCCAGCTCCCTTCTCTTTTAGAGAAGAGTGAGACAGGGTTCATATCAGAAAAGAGTAGGTATTAAACTAAATTTTATAAGTTATTGCTTATTTCAAGTAGAACAGTACAATTGCAAATTGTAAATTTAGTTCACATAACATCTTTTAAAAATATATTTCCAATAGTTACAAATTACTTAGAATCATTAGTCCAAAATTGATAGGTGATTACGTTTTTCAGTTGTATCATAAAAGGTGCAGACCCAAGGAAAAAATGTGAGATTTCCTCTATATTTTTTCAACTTACTAATTTCATTTTTGAATAAGATATTTTAAATAGAAGGAATAACATTCTTAAGTAAGAAAGACCCACATTGTTGTAACATATATAAGGTAAGAAGTCTTAAATTCCCCCTTTATCTACTTCTGAGTTTCAATAAACATTGACTTAAAAACAGAGAGACAACTCTGTGGGGTGAGTGCGTGCCTTACATGTGGGAGACCTGGATTTGCGCCTTGGCACTACATGATCACCCAAGCCCACAGGCTGTGACCGAAACACTAAGTCAGAAGTAGCCCCAAACACTTGCTGGGTGTGACCCCAAAACGCAAAACTAAAAAAGTTTCCCTACCTTTCTAGTTACTTTTCTGTACACTTTTCAGATACACACTTTTTAAAAGTATTTTTGCCAGAACACATGTAATGCATATTATTTATTCAGTAGTATAGGTAAGAGGTATCTTCTTATGCAGTTTATATAGATTTGTTGTTTTTAGTTACTGGTTGCAAGGTGTTTTCTTACTGGTGACTTTCAGTTATTTCCAGTGTTTTTGCTGTTCTAGATGCTGGTGCACCGAATACCCTGATACAAATATGGCTTCCCAGAAATAAGTTGGTTTATTATACATTATTTTTTGTTAGATAATGCCAAATGGTGTTCGAAAAAGTTATATTTATCTTTAACTGACAATTCTTTAACATCTTAAAAGTAAATGTTAATACATCTTAGTATTAAACAAGAAATGGCCTCTTTAATAGCTATCAAATGCCCTATTTAGATTAGATAAAGCATATAGTGTGTATTAATGGATATAGGTTACAATCTGTTTATAGGAAATACTGATAGGGGATTTATTTATTTTTATATAAACAAAGTAGTTTTTATTGACACTTACTTAGAAAAATTTGAGGGGAGAGAAAGTTCCAGAGTGGAAAAAAGCAGAGACATAGATAAGCAAGGAAGATACATGTTTGCTTGGGAGAACATGATCTTAAAGAGCAGGCCAGGGATTTTTTTTTCCCCCAAGATTAGTTTCATTAGTGTGTTACCAAAAAGATTACACATTGAGTTTTTTTTTTGGGGGGGGGCCTTTTTTATTGTGGATACACCCAGCGATTCATGGTGGGGGGGTGGGTACTCCTGGCTTTGCAACTCAGGAATCATTCCTGGTGGTGCTCAGGGTACCATATGGGATGCTGGGAATCGAACCCTGGTCGGCCACATACAAGGCAAACGCCCTACCTGCTGTGCTATCACTCCAGCCCAAGATTACACATTGTTAAGTAAACAGTGCTTTTTATGATTTTGTTTTGGTGTTTAAGCCACAGAAGTGTTGCTCAGGGTGTTCCTACCTCTGTGCTCATCACTTCTGGCAGGAATGGGGAACCAGTGGGGTGCAAATGAATAAACTTATTGGTTTGAATTATATTTGATTGTCATCACTAACATTTTAACATTTGAAACTCTTTACTGTATCCTCGTTTCTCACAGCACTGGTTAAATAAGGAAAAAATAAAACAAAAAGTGGAGTAAAACACATCATAGATCAGATGGAATATTCATCATAACTTTTCCTTCCTTACACTGTATAATCTTATACTTTGGATCAGGGAGTTTTGTTTATTAGAACATTTAAAAGTTATCTTGAAGAGTTAGGAGAGTTTAGTCCAAATTAAATGTACTAAAATACCTGTTTTCACTTGTTTCTTAGGTATCTGTTGTTTGTAAGTTGCTTTTAATTGAAATGCTATTTTTTAAATTTTTTAACTTTAATTTTATTGCAGTTGACCTAGTTCTGATAAAAAAAATGACACATATGACTAAAATTTGCATTGCTACATAAACTATTAATATGTAAATACCCTTTATAATTTATAAATAAGTCATTTCTCCCCTCCTCCCAACTTATAAAAGAGGAAGTAAATAATTTAAGTGACTAAATAGAATGAATATTCATTTGACTCAGTTCCTTAAGTGAAGACTTTTGTAAAACTAAAAAATATACAGGCTTGGGGGTTGAGGCAATAGCACAGCGGGTAGGGTGTCTGCCTTGCACGCAGCCAATCTGGGTTCAGTTCCCAGCATCCCATATGGTTCCTTGAGCATTGCCAGGAGTAATTCCTGAGTGCAGTGCCAGAAGTAACCCCTGTGCATCGTCAGGTGTGACCCAAAAAGCATAGATAAATAAATAGATAAACTAGACTCCTTTATAAAAAAAAATAATATATATACATGCTTGCTGAAAAAACTGTTGCATCTACTCAGTAATTCTGTTAGGAGAAAGGCCTCTCCTGGGAAGGCATTTCAGGATCCCTGAGATAACATGGGCATATGGCTTCAGGGAAAAATAAACTTTCCAAAATACTAATAACATAATATTTTTATAAAACAAAAACACAGGGACCAGAGCAACAGTACAGCAGATAGGGCATTTGCCTGGCACCCAGCTGACAAGAGCCCCAACATCTCGTATGGCCCCCTGAGCACTGCCAGGAATGATCCCTGCACAGAGAGCCAGGTCTGACCTAAAAACAAAACAAATTTGAAAAATGAAAAAGTAAATTTGTAATACCCCCTAGAAGAAGTAAGTTCAATAGATTCCTTATGGCTAGTGAGGAAACCTTAAAGATTAGGATGTTTTCTCACGTATTTATAGAATATGCAATAGGAGTCCCCTAAAAAGAGACCCAGAAGAATGAAAGCCAATGAGAGGGGAGTCAGTGAGATGATAGGAAAGGGGGAACTGTATCAAGGTCTTGGGTAAAGAATTCTCAGGAGAAATACAGTCTGAGTGAGTGAGTGAGTGCTGGCCACCAGCTTGGCTTCAGCAGCTGCAGATATGCCACAGCTTTAAGCCAGAGGATGTAAGGGACCTGATAGGTTATGTGCCACTTTTGCCTTAAAAGTAATTCTCCCTTCTTTGTGATTCATCTTTTTTTTTCACAAAATTTTTTTTTAAGTTATGATTAGGTCAGGTCTGATAGCAAAAGCATATTTTAAATGTTACCCAGTAAGGAAAGAGATGAGGTATTGATTGATAATTTAGTATGCCACTTTGAACCCCATCCTTTTGTTATTTTAAACAGTTGCATTATTTTTGTTTGTGTTTTACAGTTTTTGAGACAGTGCCCTTGAGTTCAGACTCTCTCTTCCAGAGGGCAGTTTCAATTCTCCATACTTCTTACTTGGACTCTGCATCTGAGCATGGTTTTCAGTACAGTCAAGTGACTTTGGTGAAAAATGACATTTTCTTAAATGAGGTGAGGTGCTTGGTACACACCCTGTGTGTTAGTTTTATTTTCCTTTTAAAAGAACTCATCATTTTGGTATATAAGCCTAGTTCTAAGGTAAGGTAAGGTAAAGGCCCTCCCGTTGATCGTCGATTTGCTCGAGCGGGCCCAGTAATGTCTCCATTGGAGACTTTGTTGTTACTGTGTCTGGCATATCGAATACTCTCAGTAGCTTGCCGGGCTCTCCGAGAGGGGCGGAGGAATCGAACTCGGGTTGGCCATGTTGGCCGCTTGTAAGGCGAACGCCCTACCTGCTGTGCTATCGCTCCAGCCCTCCTACCAAAAAAAAAAAGTCATTGGAGATAGTCACTTGGAAAGTATCTGCATTGGGAATAGAAAAACAATATGTTTTATTAGTCTTTTAGCAGGAAGAATTCAGGAAATAGTTCTTAAAATTAACTTGCAAGACAGAATACATTTATAAACTTCTGGTTCTCTCTTTATATAGTACAAAACTTTTTACCAAGTGAAAAAAGCAAGAAACTATACTCAGGAAGAACTTCAAGAAACTTATGGATTTCTTCTGTTTGAAACTGAAGAACAGGTGAGGGAATTAGGTTATAGAAAACTAATGTGGTCTTAATGTACAAAATTAGTTGCTATCACTCATCTTAGGTATTGGTGTTTCAATTCTGTATATTTGTAAGATTGTTTTAGCAGTCTTTATACGTTACTTAGATTTGGTGGCTTGTAATGACAGTGAAAGCTAATCAAGAAACAGATTTTTATTTCCACAACTTTCATAGGGCCTCTTTAGTCATGGTGAAATTTGGATTTAAACAAGGTTTTTGAAGTATCAATAATGCCTTTAAAGTAGTACAAAGATATTTCTTTGTTCCAGATCATTGTTTACAGAGATACTTTGTTTTCCAGAACTTCATATATGTGGTTGGGGTATTAGAGGTATGCTTTGCAGGACTGGAGAAGGTAGTAAAGCTGGTAAGGTGCTTGACTTAACGTGTGGCCGATTCCAACTACCCCCCAGGAATGACCCAGATCTGAGAGGAGAGCCAGGAGTAATCCTGGACACAGGAGAGAGAGAAAAAAAGAATGAAGATGTACACTTTGAACATTATAGTTTCTTGGAAATGTTTCATGCCTCTCTCTCTGAAGATGAAGCATTTATATTTTTACTTGTTCCTTTGATTTGTTTTTCTTATTTCTCATGTCCTATAGTTGTCAAGTTTGGTCAGTTCTGCTGATTCTCTATTCCTATCATCGGTATGATAGTTAGGAACTACTCCTGTGGGTAGGGCATGTTGGCTTGCTAGGTACATTTTACATTTTGTACAATTTTAGCAATAGTAAAGATCTGTAATCAAACCTTAAGCAATTCACAGGTAGTGTTTTGGTTGAGTTCATAATTTATCAAGAAGGGTAGACATGCTCAAAGAATAATGAGTTCACTGCAACATGAAAACTATATAGAATATCATGAACTTAATCATTTCCTTTCAAATAAGATACATTATGAATATATGGGGTGAGTAGCTTGTTCAGATTCAGTGTTTACAAAGCTTTGTTAGTTTAGTTAATTTTACTCAATGCCTATATTTAAATTCACTTACAGGGTAGAGATACAGTACAGTGGGCAGGGCGCTTGCTTTGCTGTGACTAACCTGGGCTTAAAAGCTGGCACCCACTACCATACCCTGTAAACAGTGTAAACACTGGTTTACAAAGCTTTGTAAACATCTGGGAGAAATTCTCTGTGAACTGGTATAATTTGATTTTGCTGATATTTTTCTTAATGAGAGCTGGTAAAATTTTGCAAAAACTTTAAACCACTATACAAAATATGATTGCCTTTAACCTCAACTTGATTTTAACCTCAACTTGTTTTGTGCCATGAATACATGTACAGATTTCTGGATCTTTCTAAGTTTACTTACTATAGCACTATTTCAAAGTTGCCTTTCTTTTTTTTTTTTTTTTTTTTTTTTTTTTAGGCAAAATTAGTATGTCAGCATGGACTTTGTGTCAGCAGCAGTGATATTACCACATTGGGTGACCCAGCAAAAGGTAGGTCTTTTAGAAAAAATGAATCTGTTTACAAGATGGTGTGGGATTTGGTTAATTTTACTCAATGCTTGTATTTAAATTCACTTACAGGGTAGAGATACAGTGCAGTGGGCAGGGCGCTTGCTTTGCTGTTACTAACCTGGGCTTAAAAGCTGGCACCCACTACCATACCTGAGCACCATTGGGAGTAGTTTCTGAGCTCAGAGCCAGGTTTAGCCCAGGCAGAAAAAAAAAATTCCATTAGGTAAAGAATCTTTAGAACCAGAACTTACAAATAAGCCTTGAGATTAGTTTTTTTCAGTAGGAACTACGTGATCAAAACTTAAAAACTGGTTGAAAGATCTAGAAAAGGTGCAGTATCTTTCAGTGCCAAGAGCACAGTCATCCAGAACTAATGAGGACTCTTCTGAGCTGTCATAACAGTGGTAAGAATAGAGAATCATTGGTAGAACTGACCAAGCTTGGCAACTGTGGAATGTGAAGGATAAGCAAGAAAATCAAATGTAAGGTAGTGTTAATCTTTCACTACCTTGATATTCACAGAACAACAGGAAAAGAAGTTGGTAGAGAAGTTGATGAATTGAGGAAGGTAATTTTATGGTTAAGAATATGGATTAAAACTAAATTTCTGTGTCTTCTTTCCTCATTTGCAAAAAAAAACAAAACTACCTATTGGGCTTTGTTGTAAAAATTTCCTGAGTATATGAAATGCTCATTAGCTGAGAAATAAGCTTTCAGTAAATGGACGTTGTTTTTTTATTGAATTAAGTTTGAGATATGGTAAGATTTTCATAAATATTTCTGGAAAATTTCCCAATGGTGGCCTAATTACTTGGGAAAGAGATAAGGACTGGTTTGAGGACTGGTCTTTGGGCTTGGTGTTAATTGAAGAATATTGTTACAGGGAGATAGTACAGTGGGTAAAGGTGTTTGCCTTGCATGTGGCAAACCCAGCAATCAATCTCCAGCACCACATATGGTCCCCAGAACCTGCCAGGAGTGATCCCTGAGTGCAGATCCCTGAGCACTGCTGACTGTGGCTAAAAAAAGTAAAAGAATATTGTTACATGGGATAATAAAGAAGGAAGAGATCACAGTAGAACTTTCTGATCTTTACATAGGTATGTGGGTGTTTGGGGGGACCATGAGAGCTGGAAGCTATCCAGTGGCAGAGAATCAGTCAGAAAGTACAGTTGTATAGAAGGTTGAGGGGACTCAAGGAGAGCAGCAGATACTGTAGAATTTAGACTTAAGAACCAAGAAAAGTAATTGGGCTTCATGGTTAGATTCCGAATTTCCCCCCACACCCCTCAATAATAGCCCTGTTAATAGCTGGAGAACAGTATGGGGTTAAGACACGTTCCTGGCACACAGCAGTCCTTGACTCAGTGTTTGCCACCACATTTGGTCTTCTGAGCACCCCTGCAGATGACACCAAGTTATAGAACATGCATTTCACTGATTTAAAGGATAAAAGTCCATGTATTTTTTTAGTGTGGTCAGAGTTCTGCAGCCATCAGAAAGACCATTTTTATTACCCAAAACAGAAATCCTGTATCTGTTAGTGATTCCTCATCTCCACCCACCCCCATTTATGTGCGTATCACCTAAGCGACATAAGTTACTTTTTGTTTCTATTGATTTATCTGACATTTCTGACATTCTATAAAAATGGAATCATACCACATATGATCTTACGGATTATTTTACGTAGGTGTATGTTTTTGAGATTTCATGTTGTAGGTACCAATACTGTTTTCTTTTTTGGCTGAATAATCTGTCCTTGCATAGTTTTACTATATTTTCTTGGTTCATTTAACGGTGGTGAGCATTTGTGTTTTTCTGCTTTTTGACTTAGAAATATGTGTGTACATTCATGCCCAAGTTTTCTGCTTAGAAACATTTACATTTCTCTATGTATGTAACTACATGTGGAGTTGCTGGGTCACGTGTCATATGTAAAATAAAAGTTGAAAAACCAATATTGAACCTTTTTTTTGCAAAGGAGGTATGTACCAGGCTGTGCTCGGGCTTTAATCCTGTCTCTGCCCATTTTAGTTGTTGGACCCAACTAGAAATGGTGGTTTCTTTAAAGGCATTGTTTCAGAGCCAGAGTAATAGCACAGGGGTTAAAGGCCTTGACTTGCTTGCAGTTGACCCTGGGGTTATCCTTCTACCACATGGTCCCCATTAGTGACCACTACTGAGATCAGAGCCAGGAGTAGCCCAAAGCCCTGCCCCAAATACCCCCTCCCCCCCAAAAAAACAAAAGATGTTTTCATTTTGTGGGGACAGGGTTACACCCCGTGGTACTTAGGGGCTATTGCTGGCTGTATGCACAGGATTGATCCCTGGTGTTACTCAGCGGATCATAAGCAGGGCTGGCGATCCAGCTGAAGTTAGCCACATTTGAGGCAACTGCCTTATCTCCTGTACTACCTTTTCAGTCCTATTTTTATCATAACATTTTAACCTTTGTGTCATTGTCTTGAGTTCTAAATTAATCTATATTTTTTCTTTTATAGGTGTATACATTTCTAAGTATTCGGACTATCTTCAGGCAAGACCATGGTATCATGGGAAGTCTGGATATATTGTAATTTTTAATCTAATTAAGGTAAAGCCCAAAAAATATTTCTAAAAAACTTTAAGAACTGAGTATTTTCAATCTGTGGTAATGCAAATTATTATCTAAACATAATCCCCAAAAAGGATTAAATGCAGCCAAAGTAACTATGTAAATATAGAAAAGAAAATAGCTGCTAGTTTTGCTTTTCCTTTCAAGTAAAAAGCCTTTCTTTTGCCTCAGTCCTACAGAACCATTTTGTAAGAAATAAAATAATGTGGGGCTGGAGCAATAGTACAGCAGGTAGGGCATTTGCCTTGCACACGGCTGACTCGGGTTCGATTCCCAGCATCCCATATGGTCCCCTGAGCACCACTAGGAGTAATTCCTGAGTGCAAAGCCAGGAGTAACCCCTGTGCATCACTGGGTGTGACCCGAAAAGCAGAAGAAAAAAGAAAGAAAATAATGTGATTACACTAAAAAGAGGTGAATTTAGAAAGCAACATTATCTGACTTAAATGATCAAAATCTTTCATGGGGCTAGAGAGATACAAGGGTTGAGATGTGTCGGCCACCAACCCCTGCTGGATCCCCTGTTCTATTCTTAGTCTTCCAGGAATGACCTCCAAGCAGAGTCAAGAGTAAGACCTGAGACCTTGAATGTATAGCTCAGAAACCAAAATAGCAGGACTCCTGCTACCACCACCACTATTACTAACTACCACAACCTTTATTACTATAGTACACCACCACTCAAAATGCCAGTACTACTATTAGTAATGGTAGTAAAGTATAATAAAAGAAATCTCTTTGTAAAACACAAAAGTCTTGCTCACAGCTTCATATGGCACCTGTAACGGAAAGTCTTAGACATTCTTAAACATCCTTAAATAGTCCAGTATAAATGATCATGACAAGAATTTTCGTTCAGTAGGAAAATTCTGCTTTAAATGGAGATTGAATTTTTGGCCTATAATTTGCAGTTAGTACTTTAATAACTGAAAATAGTTAGGAAACTCAATTTTTTTATTGTTACCCTCTTATGTCATGGCCATAAGACCTTATTGATGAACCTTTTTTTTTTTTGCTTTTTGGGTCACACCCTGCGATGCCCAAGGGTTACTCCTGGCTCATGCACTCAGGAATTGCTCCTGGCGGTGCTCGGGGGACCATATGGGATGCTGGGAATCGAACCTGTGTTGGCCATGTTGGCTGCGTGGAAGGCAAATGCCCTACCGCCATGCTATCGCTCCAGCCCCTGAATCAAATTTTTAAAGAAAAGATTCTCTTAAGTGTGGAATGATTCATCTATCATTTTATACTGTGATAAAACTGATGGACATTTTCTTTGGGGGCCACACCCAGTTGTGCTGGGGATTACTCCTTATGTTGCCCATTTAGGGGACCCTACAGTGGCAGGAATAAAACCTAGGCTTCCCACAAACAAAGTATGTGATCCAGCCTTCAGAGCTATTATCTTCATCCAGAACTAGAGTTGTTTGGGCGGGGAGGGTCACACCATGCAGTGCTCAAGGCTTCCTCCTGTCTCAGCATTCGGTAATCACCCCTGGCCGGTCTCAGAACCATTTTGAGGTGCTGTATCAAACCTAGGTAGGCTGCGTGCAAAGCAAGCATCTTTCCCACTGTGCTAGCTCTCCAGCCCCCACAACTAGAGTTCTCTTTTTTTTTTTTCTTTTTGGGTCACACCCGGCTATGCTCAGGGCTTGCTCCTGGCTCTGCACTCAGAACTTACTCCTGTCGGTGCTTGGGGTGCCAGGGATTGAACCCGGGTCAGCCGCGTGCAAGGCAAACGCCCTATCCGCTGCTCTTTCGCTCCAGCCCCTCTAGAGTTCTTTTTTATTTTATTTTTTTTGGTGGTGCTGAGGTTGTTGGCCACATCCAGCAATTCTCAGGTTAGTCTTGAATCTGTACTCAGAAATTGCTCTGGCTCCAGAACTAGAGTTCTCAACCCAGTTAAGTGGTAGCCGAAACATAGCAACATCTTTCTGAGCTCTTTTAAATAATTTGTACAGTAAATATTGCTATTTGACACATCTGATTCATGTTTTTATCTTAGGGAAAAGTCAAATTTGTACCTGAGAATTATACAACTAACTATACTAGCCCATCTGTTGGCTATGATTGCCATGTGGCTGCAAATACTAACAAGGTTTCTCACAAGACGAGTCATTTCCGCACCTTCGAACTGAGTCAGGTACTGTCACGTGGGAATAAATCCTAAAATGAATTTCTGAGTCTAATGTGTGATTACAGGACAGGGTGGAGATAGAGACTTTCTTACCTCATAATTCTTCCTTTTCCTCTTTCAGTATTACCTCTATGAACTCACAGGCAGCACCATAACTAAACGACCCAGACAAGTCTGCCCCTACCTTATTGTAGCTTTTCAGTACCAAGAGCCTAAGAGAATGGCCACGCTCACTCATCAGAGCCTGTAAGTGTTTCCCTCCACTGTCTGTTTCTGTAATTTTGTTTCCTTTCTCTTAGTAAAAAGCTTTTTTTTTCTTTCCTTTTTCTTCTAGACTTGAACTCCATAAAAATGGTAAGAAATTAATGTGCTCTGGGTTTTGATTTGCTTTTTTATTTTTTAAGTGTTTTGTTCACAGATAAAATGGAGTTTCTTTCCCTTATTTTTTAAGTTCTCACCTCTCCATGGAAAGGAAAATTAATTCTTCAAGGCTATCTACTGTGTGATATAACACTTAGGTCCTCTTGCGGCACAGTGATTCCAATACAATTGTAAGTATTAATTTTTATCCTTTGTTACTTTGTGGGCTGGAGCAGTAGTACAATGGGTGGGGCGTTTGCCTTGCACGCAGCTGACCCAGGTTCAATTCCTCCATCCCTCTCGGAGAGCCCGGTAAGCTACCAAGAGTATCTCGCCCACATGGTAGAGCCTGGCATTCTCCCTGTAGTGTATTTGATATGCCAGAAACAGTAACAAGTCTCACAATGGGGACATTACTGGTGCCCGCTCAAGCAAATCGATGAACTGGAAGACTGTGCTACAATGCATAGTGCTTTGTTTTGGGGTAGAGAGTCACATCCAGTACTGCTCAGGGGCCGTCCCTGGCTCTGTGCTCAAGAGTGACTCCTGGCAGTGCTTGCAATGTCGCTTATGGTGCTGTGGGGCTCTGGGTGCATGGCCAGCACCTGAACCTCCGTACTTTCTCACCCAGCTCCTCCCCCTCAAAATATGTTTTTAGGACAGACGATACATATATACTAGGGAATTTTGAAACAAAAGCTGTGGATGTGGTGCTTTTTCTGACACTGCATGGTTGGAAATCCAATATTGCCCCAAATTTGCAACTCTTATTCCATTATGCATGATCTCTTTACATCTTCACGTTATTCAAGAAGGAGGAATGGATTCAAAATATGTGAACAGGTCTACCAGTGTTTTACATGTATTTGAAAATTTATAATTCTAAGCATGTGCATTATTTGCCCAAGCATCTTACTTGAGGATTCTTCTGTGGTTAAGGACTCCTTTCTGGTTGTGATTTTTTTTTCTTGTTTGCATTTATATTAGAAAGCTAAAAACTATGATGGTTAAGCTACTTTTAATCATTATTACATTTTATGATATATGTATATTTTTTAGACCACATGATCTGGATTTCAAGTATGTCATGAAAGTGTCATCTCTGAAACAAATACTACCACAAGCTGTCTTTAAAAAACAGAATAACTTGGAACAAAAAGGTCTGTTTAAATATACTGGCATAGCGGTATGCTGTCTGTCCTAGACTTTGTTCATTTTTTTCTGCTTTCTTACACACACTTCTGTCTCTCCTTAAGTAGTTCTTTAAAAGTTTTTTTGTGAAATGGTAGAGCTATGAGTCGGTTTCTTCAAGGTGGCCTGCTAGAAACTGGATGTCACTTCATTCTAAGACTAGCTTTTAACACAGAAATACTAAGTAGACATGCTTACAGATAGCTGGAGATTTGTAACCATTACTTTTAGGGGAAAGTAGTTATTTTTATAGGGTTTTTTTTTGGTTTACAAATAGATAAAAAAGAAAGTTTTAGGTCATTTAAATTCATGAAAGTTGGAGGTGGTCTGTACTTGTAGTAATGTCAGTATAAAGGAAATAATTTTCAGACATTTTATACAGTAAATAGTGAGTTTTATAACCACTACTTGAACAGATTTTTCCTTTTTTTTTTTTTCTTTTTGGGTCACACCCAGCGATACTCAGGGATTACTCTTGACTCTGCACTCAGGAATTACTTATTCCTGGCAATGCTTGGGGGACCATATGGGATGCTGGGGATCAAACCCAGGTTGGCCACATGCTAGGCAAATGCCCTCCCCACTGTGCTATCGCTCCGGCTCCCAATTTTTTAAATAATGTTCCTAGTAGTTTTATTTTGGGGGCATACATAATTTGGGGGCAGCGTGATACCATTTCACCAAAACTCTTCAGTGCCACCCTTGAGAACACCATGCGACGACTGAAATGGGAAAGCATGGGAGTGAAGATAGATGGTCGGCAACTACACCACCTCCGCTTTGCTGATGACATCATTCTAATAACACCAAACATCAGCCAAGCGGCACAAATGCTGAACAACTTTGACCGTGAATGTGGAAAGGTCGGACTACAGCTGAATTTTACGAAGACAATGTTTATGAGAAACAGCCTTGTTCCTGACGCTCCATTCACTCTCAACGGAACCACCATCTCCGAATGCAACAGTTATATATACCGAGTTCAAAAAATCAACATGATGAATGACCTGGCACCTGAGTTGCGCAGGAGGAAGAGAGCAGCTTGGAATGCCTTCAAGAGCATTGAAGAAATAACTAAAAGGACAAAGAACCTCCAGCTACGAGCACATCTCTGATTCCACTGTTCTTCCTGCATTAACATATGCCTCAGAGACCTGGACCCTATGAAAACAGGATGAGAACGCTATTCGGGTCTCTCAAAGAAGAATTGAAAGAGCTATGCTTGGAATATCATGATTCACTCAAATGAGAGATAGAATCCAGAGTTCTGATCTTCGTCAACGCTCAAGAATCAGGGACGCTGTCTCATTTGCCAAGGCATCAAAAACCAGATGGGCTGGACATGTAATAAGGTTTACAGACAACCGCTGGACTAGAGCCATTACTGATTGGATTCCACGGGACATCAAAAGATCACGTGGACGCCCACCTACAAGATGGTCAGACTTCTTTGTCAAGACCCTGAATGATCGGTTTGAGGCTCTGCATGTTCCTAGAACGAACAGATACCATTGGGCTACGCTAGCACGCAACCGGGATGAATGGAGACGTTACTGGCACCCGCTCAAGTAAATGGATGAATAACGGGGATTAAGTGATTAAGTGATACATAATTGGTTATACAAATGCATAATGTGGGGCTGGAGTGATAGTACAGCAGGTAGGATGTTTTCCTTGCACGCAGCAGACCAGGGTTTGATCCCCAGCATTCCATATGGTCCCATGAGCCACCATCAAGAATAACCCTTGATCACCACTGGGTGTGACCCAAAAAGCCAACAAAAGGCATAATGCCTTTTCTAAAAGTAGAAAATGATCTGTTTCTCCATTTTTTTTTTCCCTCTGCAGCCTTTTCTCAAGAAATGTGCTTCAGTATATATGAGGTGGAACTGTCAAACAAAGAAGGAGGAAAAATAAATGAACTAACTGAATACATTAAAAATGAACAGTTGGTAAGAATCAGCAGTTTGGAATGTATTTTTTTTATTCTGGAGAAATTGTAATCCACATAATAGTTAACTATGGGCTGGAGATATAGCACAGCGGGTAGGGCATTTGCCTTGCATGCAGCCAACATGGCCGACCCGAATTTGATTCCTCCGCCCCTCTCGGAGAGCCCGGCAAGCTACCGAGAGTATCTCGCCCGCACTGCAAAGCCTGGCAAGCTCCCCGTGACGTATTCGCTTTGCCAAGCACAGTAACAAGTCTCACAATATTACTGGGCCTGCTCGACAAAATCGATGAACAACGGGAGGACAGTAACATTGATAGTGACAATTAACTATGCCTACCTGAGGTCATTTTTGCTTGCTGAAAGAATTTTTTGCATTTAATATTACTGATATAATACTTAATGATTAATGTTTTCATCCACCTTGTATCTCAGTTTACTTTATTTCTCAGATTACTCTGGTAATCCTAGACAGTTTTATTGAGTTACTACTTCATAGTCCAAAATTTAAGAGTAAGGAGAGAGGACTGGAGCAATAGTACAGCAAGTAGGATATTTGTCTTGCACATGGCCAACTCAGGTTCGATCCCCTGCATCCCATATGGTCCTCCAAGCACCATCAGGAGTAACTCCTGAGTGCAGAGCCAGGAATAACCCCTGAGAATTGCTGAATGTGACCCAAAAACAAAAAATAAGGAATTTTCTCAAATCTCTTTTTGACTTTTTTTTTAATGACAGAAAAATTGAGTGTCTCTTTATTAATCAAAGGACTGTTTGTGAGATTCCTCTTTAAAATTGACCTTTAGGGTGGTCAAAGCAATAGAATGGTGGGTAGGTAAGATAGGTAGGCAAGGATCTTGCCTTGTACAAAGCCTACCTGGGCTTGGTCCCTGGCAGTCCATATGGTTTCCTGAGCACTGTCAAATGTGGCCAAATGTTCCCAAAATCAAAAGGAAAAAAAGCGATCTTATTCATTGGGACAGTCAACGGGGAGCAAGAGAAGGGGCTTGTGCACACAGTGGCTGCCTCTGCTTTTTCCATGGTGTGGAAATTGCAACTACTGGTACCAAGAAATAGAATTGCAGACCTTTCTGCTACATTAAACCAGGATTTCTTTTTGTGTGAGGATTGGAGTAGATGCTAGGGGCTTCCACACCCACCTCGCAGAGCAGATGTGCAGATGGAGACTTGTGCCTGGCGTTCAGAGTTGGGTGCCTGTGTGGGCAAGGCATCCAGCCCGACCACTGAGCTTGACCGAACCCCAGACTAGCAGTGGAGCACTATGTTCCTTTTGCTTGAATTCTGGAATCCACCGAAGGTCATCTGCATGCCTTGTTACCAAGGGACCAGGTTGCATTATATTTTCTATCTCTCTGGATAAGGTAAAGGTAAAGGTAAAGGCCCTCCCGTTGATCGTCGATTTGCTCGAGCGGGCCCAGTAACGTCTCCATTGGAGACTTTGTTGTTACTGTGTCTGGCATATCGAATACTCTCGGTAGCTTGCCAGGCTCTCCGAGAGGGGCGGAGGAATCGAACTCGGGTCGGCCATGTTGGCCGCTTGTAAGGCAAACGCCCTACCCGCTGGATGTTTTGTAGTATAGTTTTATTGAATAATTTTTTGGGATCTTATTTCAGGGGTCTGGGTAGGGCGTTTGCCTTGCAAGTGGCCAACATGGCCAACCCGATTTCGATTCTTCTACCTCTCTTGGAGAGCCCGGCAAGCTACCAAGATTATCTCGCCCGCACGGCAAAGCTACCCGTGACGTATTCGATATGCCAAACACAGTAACAATTGTCACAGTGGAGACGTTACTGGGCCCGCTCGAGCAAATCGATGAACAATGGGAGGACAGTGACAGTGACTTATTTCAGGATTTTGTTCTATGTTTAAGATACTAATTGTATGCCTAATTGTATGCTAATTATATTCACGCTGACTGTTGGTTAAGTGCTATTGGTCTGATTCTGTAGAAGTATTAAGAAATAACAAACCTGAAGATTTCAGTGAAAAATAAATAAATACTCTCTGTTTGATGTCTTGTGGTTGTGGCCAAGGACTAGCATGTTCTATTACTGGGTATAAATTTGCCTGATTCATATACAACTACCATTCCAAGATTATTTTTCTTTCGATTTTGGGGCCACACAAGGTGGTTCCCAGGAAACCAGGCTGTAGCAGGGACTGGAAGCTGGTCCCCTGGCATGAGAGTTGTGCTCCTGCCCTTCAGGCTAGTCCTGAGAATTGTGTTTGTTTCACTTCTTTTTTTTTTGGGGGGGTCACACTTGGCGATGCTCAGGGGTTACTCCTGGCTCTGCACTCAGGTATCACTCCTGGTGGTGCTCAGGGGACCAATATGGGATGCTGGGACTCGAACCTGGGTCAGCCACTTGCAAGGCAAATACCCTACCCGCTGTACTATTGCTCCAGCCCCTGTTTGTTTCACTTTTCATGGCTCAGGAAGGAAGAGTGGGGTAGAGGGAGAAATAAAGGAATTGCATCTTTTCATTTATTTATGTTTACTGTTTAAGGCAATCATCAAGTGTTTAGAAGATCGGGGATTTTTCATTTTACTTATGTCATCGGCCTTAATAGCGGAAACAAGTAAGGACAACTTTCTTGAAAAAATTCTTTTCAGTGTGTTTACTTTTGTTTTTTAAGGTCTCGGCCTAATTTCTCTTGTCTTTGTTGTTCTAATAGCTCTTGGAGAGGAACAGATGAGTCTGTGTGGTTTGCATGTTTTCCATTCATCCCTGCCAACAGGTAAGGGCCAGTGACTTCCGGTCCATCCAGACCCCATCTTAATGGATCCCTGCGTAGCACTTGACCTTGTGTTCTGTTTTCTTCTCGAGTTGTTTATGATGATTTGTTCCTGGCATTCACTATTCCAACACAGATCCCCCCACTACTGTCATCTTCCCTCCACCATTGTCTCCATTTTCCCACCCACCCCTCATGGCTTCCTATGATAGGCCCACAATAATTTATTTTGTATTGTTTGTAACTGCTAAATGGCTAATGGGAAGGTAAAAAAAAATACTTTAGTAAAAGAAAATTTGTAAAAATTGCTCTTTCTGCCCTTGGGGACATTAAGTCTTTGTCTGAGGGTTTACTGAGCTGTTGTTGCTAGTTAGCCTCCTGTGTTGATATTCTTGTTAGTTAAGCTTAGTTTCCACATTATGTTTCCATCCAATCTGATATGCTCCTACAGGGATGTTGGTATTACAGCAGTGGAGATGTTGCTGCAGAAAATCCAAAATGTTTAACTGAACAGTGAGCTTAAGTGGTGGGGATGGGACATGGGTGTGTCTGTGGGGGCTTCTGATAGTACCGGGAGGTGGGAGAAGTCTCCTTAGTTTTAACAGGTGATTGTTTTTTAGTTCTCTGTGCCTTTAGGATGTATTGTATTTAAATAGATTTGTTAAGTCTTGTATTGCTATTTAGGTTACCTTTTGAAACACTATCCTATTATACACTCTGGTTCAGTCATCCCAGAATTACGACCCTAAAACTGCATGTTTTTATAAAATAAGCTTTGTTTTTAATATGAATATTTGTCTTAGGGATGAAAGACTTGAAAGTTGAAGAAGACATCTCATTGAAGGTGTTACCTATTTTACCTGCACTTAATTGTGCCCTGCTGGAAGCAAAGAAATTATTTACCGAAGAAGGAATCTGTCCAAACACCTTGGTAAAGCGTAATCTCCAGGACTTGTGCAAGGCGGGTAAAAGTCCTCAGGATGGAATGAAAGAAATGGCATCCCTTGGCGAAGCACCCAGTGCTTCTGAGGCTGCTGAGAAGTGTCCTTTAGAGTCTCTGAGTCAGTTGAGGTCTTACCTGTCAGATCCTAGCAGTTATATTTTAGAAGTATCTGCTGCTCTGGATTTCCTAACAGAACCTCCCCAGTCTCCCTGTGTCTTAGATGGAATTTGTGATGCTGAATTTTCTTTAGTCATGACTCCAGACCCTGAATTTCTTGAATCAGAAGTAGGAGTCAGAAAAAAAACAGAAAAAAATTCTGAAGAGGCATTAAAAGCAAGACAGAAAACGGCGATCCCAGCAGGTCTGGCATCAAATGTGAGAGTTCAGCCAAAGAGAAAAGCCAGCACACCTTCCATGGTGCAAAGCAGCAAAAGGAGGAGCTTGTGCCGTCCGCTCCCCAAAAGAACTCCCGCAGCAGCAGACAAGACTTCCGACTCACCAGCCACTCTGAAACTAGTCAAAGGCCCTTTTCCTCAAAAAAGAAAAAGAGGTAAGCAGATGAAGCAGATGCATGTGTGCTATTAGCCGAGCAGTTAGCAGTTCCTGGTGCCGTTAACATTGCCTATGTGTCACTGTGGACTACAGCTTCCAGCGTCCATTAGAGGTTCCTTAGACGTGCTGGCACCACTATAGCTTGTCTGTCTGCAAGTTTGAGAAGCATTGGCATAGATACGAAAAATGTCATCACACCTTTAAAACCGTGGACCCAAAGCATTCACTTGTAAGAATAGTCAAGCCCAGTTATTTCAGTACCATTCTGTGTATAATTTGGTTTCTGAGCATCTGTGGACAGATCCATGTGGATAGTGAAGCATTGGATAGGTAGTAAAGGGTTAAGGTTCTTCCCTTGCACTTGTCTGACCCTGGCTCGATCCCTGGCAACTCATCTTGCCCCGATCACCTTTATTTTTTATTTTTTTTCCTTTTTGAGTCACACCCAGCCATGCACAGAGGTTACTTTTGGCCCTGCATTCAGGAGTTAATCCTAGCGGTGCTGGGGGACCATATGGGATGCTGGGAATCAAACCGGGGTTGGCTGCGTGCAAGGCAAATGCCCTACCCGCTGTGCTATTGCTCCAGCCCTAGTCCCAAGCACCTTTAGAAATGACCTCTGAGCACAAAGCCAGGAATAAGTCTCGTTCATAGCCACATGTGGCCCCAAAACAAATGGAGTGGCAGATGGAGAGCTTCTAAACCGCTGACCTTAGTGAAAGGCCAGGCAGATGGCTTAGCTACTCTGTCCTGCTCGGAGTGACCCTGGAAGGCCAAGGGTAAGCCTGATGGCCACCAGCTATGGCCCTAGACCAGGAAAAATGGTTTCTATGGTCAATCTTGGTGCAGATTTCACATGGCTTTTGAAACAAATTCCAAACACTTATTTTTGGGTTTTGAGCCACAGCCAGCAGTGCTTGGGTTCCTCCTGGCTCTGTGCCAGGAATTACTCCTGGTGGTGTTCCAAGAACCATATGGGATGCCGGGGATCCAACCTGGGTTCTCTCTGGCCCCAACTTTCAAAAAACATTTAATTTAGCTGTCTAATAGATTCTGTTTTCTACTCTGTTGCCTGATTTAAGAAAGGATTCCGGTGGCAGCCCTTTGATTGTAGTCTGTAACCCTCTGCTGAATCACTGCTTACAGCTTGCTGATTCTGCTCTTGGCTTCTCATTGATTTTCTTTCTCAATTTACTCTTAAATATTTTTCTGCTTAATCAGTTTTGTCTTGATGCTAAAATTTATAGGAACTTAAAATAAAAAAAAATTGGTCTGGAATGGTAGTTAAGCAGGTAGGGCACTTGCCTTGCCTGTCTGCCAACCTGAGTTTGATCCTGGAGTTCTCTGAGTGCACAGCCAAAAGTAAGCCTGAGCACCACTGGGTGTGGCCCAAAAATCTAAATACTATAGAAATTTCTAGAAGGGAATGCTTTTTGGTTGTTTTGTTTTTGGTTTTGTTTTACGCCAGTGTGTGCTGCTTTAGTACTCTCAAACTGTGGAGGAAAGAATGGCATTAGGGAAATGTTGGAGAGGACGAGTTTTTTGAAGGGCCACACATTGCCCCATGGATTGCACCTTTAGCTGTGGCCTTCCATAGGACAGGTGCAGTGTAGCAGAGGAGCAATAATAGACTAGGAAGCTTGATCTAGTAAAGACTTTCTTCAGTGTACCTTTCTTCTCTTAAAATAGTTCTCAGGTGGTATTAACACTTAAATATTTAATGAATAGTGAAATGAAGAATATATATATAGAAGAATATATATATTATATATGTATATATATAATATATATATATATATATATACGGTCACGGTCCTCCCGTTGTTCATCAATTTGCTCGAGTGGGCTCAGTAATGTCTCCATTGTGAGACTTGTGGTTACTGTGTTTGGCATATCGAATACGCCACGGGGAGCTTGCCAGGCTCTGCCGTCTGGGCGAGATCCTCTCGATAGCTTGCCGGGCTCTCCGAGAGGGGTGGAGGAATCGAACTCGGGTCAGCCATTTGGCCACTTGCAAGGCAAAAGCCCTACCACTGTGCTATCGCTCCAGCCTATATATATATATGGTGGATCTTTATGAACACAGTCCAGTCTCAAGTTGTTGGGTTTTTTTTTTTCCTTTTTTTGGGGTGGAAATTAGTAAAAAACCACGCAGGCTGAGCAGGTCGAAGGGTGTGCCGGGCGGCTCTACCTCACCGCCCTTGTTAGGTGTTCTAGAGCTGCTGTGTGTGGACTGGATCGGAACTGCTGTTGGCCTAGGGCAGGCGAAGGAATGAGAGAGCCAGGCTGGTTGGTCTCAATAGCCGTTTATTCCAGTCTCATCCCCATTCACTCCTGTCTCTCTCTCCTCTCCCGGCGCCCCCCCCCAATCTGGACCCTCCAGTCCACTCTTACAGCCTCGTTAAATCCCCAAAGCATGAGGGGTTGGGCTTACACATAGGTGTAGTCACAAAGTTCTTTACCTCAGGGAATGCTGCTTCTAGGACAGATTCTCTTTCAGCAGAATGACCCACCCAAGGGCGAAATCCCATGGGTATGTTTCTCCTTTCCTTGTCCAACAAACATAGAAGCATTCATAATATTAATCATTTTGTATGTACACAGTAAGAGATGTATTAAGCTTATAGAATTGCTCTTGATCTCAGACTACAGTGCTCAGGCCAGATTAGTCTTTCCTATCCCTAGCAGGGTCCTAGTTTCGTTGTTACTTTTGGATCATGACAGCGTTTGTCCATGATCAAGCTCTTATAGTTAAGAATCGTGGTACTTTGGCCTGGCCCATTTCAAAGCCTGGGTAGCTGAGAGCTTGCCCTCGGTCCCTTCAGTCCCTTGCCGGGACCTTGCTTTTGGGATGCTAGGAACTGAGGGCAACTGAGGCTTAAGTTGAGAAAGCAGATGCCCGGGAATGAATAATATTCAAAGCCAGTTAAATCCCAAGTTACAAAAGCATATTAATTTTCTTCTTGTGTCTATACAAAAGGACATTGCTTTTTTTTTTTTTTTTTTTTTTTTTTTTTTTTGCTTTTTGGGTCACACCTGGCGATGCTCAGGGGTTACTCCTGGCTCATGCACTCAGGAATTGCTCCTGGCGGTGCTCAGGGGACCATATGGGATGCTGGGAATCGAACCTGTGTCGGCCATGTTGGCTGCGTGCAAGGCAAACGCCCTACCCGCTGTGCTATCGCTCCAGCCCAAAAGGACATTGCTTTAAAGTAAACTATTCAAAAGACATAAGGAGAGGAGAAAGGCAATATTAACTTACAAGTTTAGTGTTCTAGAACGATCTGACCTTACAAATTAACAGAAACTGATTAGGGGAATAAGCTGATTAACTGGTTGGAGAAGAGAGCATAGAGAAGTGGTTACAGATAAACAAAAAGAATGGGAGTGACTCGGGAGTACTTTGATGGATGTGACCCGATAAACCTAAGCTCCTTGTGGCAAGGGAGAAAGGACAAAGCAATGTTACCCGACAGGAACTGTGTTGTATTATACGTCTTTATATGCCATGATAATCAAGAAAATTTTAGTTTCTCCTTTGATAGAAGGTAAGCTGATACTTTGCAAGTTCGTTTCATTATATTTGTGTGAGATCGCACTTTTTTAAAAAAACATTCCATAATAAAAAGTCCCAGATTTTGTATTTTATTTTGCATTGCTTAGATTACCCAGAGGATGAAAGAAATGAAAATGATGCTGATAAACATCAGAGCCCCTGATCCCTTACAAAACATTGTCTTTTCTCCATCAGGTGCTGAAGTACTAACGGCACAGTTTGTACAGACAGCAAGATTGGACAGGAAAGACCAAGATGATCCCATTTCTAAAGCTGTGCCAGCGATAGCAAATGCTAAAAGAGCAAGGAAGCAAGATAAATCGTTAGTCACGGCTTTTGTAAAGACGAAGCTGCCTGTGCAGAAATCTCCACAGAAGCAGAGGATAAATACAGTGAGAGGCAACCAGAATCCCAGATTCGTGGAGCCCCCACCACCTGGTAAGGAATGCTCTGCCCAAAATGTTAGACACCATCATTAATAAAGAGAATAAACAAAAAAGAAAAACTGTTGAAATCGACAAGTAATTCTTGCTATATTCTTTAGCTTTCCTGTTATGAGTGGAATAGCACCTTTGTTTTGAGTTTATAAAGCCTAAACATATATTTAATTACAAGAGTTAAAGTGACCTTTTGTTAATAACTAACTGTAGAAATAAGTAGTATCTGGCAGTGTTTTTCTGAACAGTAATCAGTTATAAAAAGTAAAAGATTATAAGTTAATTTGTCCAAAAAGGAATTATAAACAGTTTAAAAACTGTCATACAGGGGCCAGAGAGAGAGTATAGCAGGTAGGGTGTCTTGCACTCGGCCAACCCAAGTTCAACCCCTGGCATCCCATATAGTTCTCCTAGCACCACCAGGAGTAACCTCTGAGCATCACTACTGGGTGTGGTCCCAAAATAAAATAAAACACCCTGTCAAACGATCCTGCATTTGATTTTTTTTTTTTTAACCTCCCAAGCAGGGCCCTCATGGCAGTTGGCAGCTCTCTGAGCTGTATTGCAGTGCTTTGGCCACTGATGTGTTGCTCAAGACTTGTGGTGTCAGACCACCAGGGTCACTCCACCCTTGCAGTGCAGGGGGTGGGCCCAGGGAGGGCGGGCCACACCTAGCTGTGCTCATGACTTACTCCTAGCTCTGGTGCTCAGGGATCACCCTTGGCAGTGTTAAGGGGCATATATGCAGTGCTGTGGATCAAACCAGGGTTTTTTTGTGTGCAAGGCAAATTCCTTAACCCCTAAACTCTCTCTGGCCCACTGTATTTGATTTTTAAAGGTATTAAACTTTGGGGTAGTGGGGTGTGGCCACACCTGGGGATACTTAATGGCTGTCCATGGCTTTATGTTCAGGGGTGCCTCCCTGGCAGTGCTTGGGTGAGGGATCAATCCAGAGTCAGCTCTGTGCCATTTAAGTGCCTTATCCCTATACTTTTAGGACCTCTTGCTCTGGTCCTAAAAAACATTAAACATTATTATTATTATTTATTATTATTGTTATTGGCAGGAGGGCTGCATCTGGCAATGCTCAGGGAGTACTCTTGGCTTTGCACTTGGAGTTACTCCTGGTGATGCTTGGCATGCCAGGGATCTGGGATGCTGAGGATCGAACTGGGTCATACAGTGACCCAACACCCATCCCTCCACCAGTGTACATTTCCCAACACCAGTGTTCCTAGTTTCCCTTCCATCATTCCCTAATGCCTTCCCCACATCTCCCCGAAGAGGCAGGCACCTTTCTTCTTTCTCTGTCTCTCTCCTTTTGTCCATTATGATTTACAATACAGGAGCCAGGAGGTCATCGTGTTTGTTCAGGGAGTTCAGTATTTTTATTAGAAATGCACAGCTAGAGTAACATTTTTAACTTAGTGGCAGCCTTGGGGTGTGGACATGACTGCTGGGGCTTCCAGAAGTACAGGGAGGTGGGGGGAGGGAGCCCATCCTAACTCCCAAGAGAAACATGGAGATTTAAGTCACAAAATCTGCATACTCAAATTTTCAGCAGATTAATATCTCGGTGGGGCTGGAGCGACAGCACAGGGGGTAGGGCGTTTGCCTTGCAAGCGGCCAACATGGCCGACCCAAGTTTGATTCCTCCACCCCTCTCGGAGAGCCCGGCAAGCTGCTGAGAGTATCTCGCCTATGCGGCAAAGCCTGGCAAGCTACTTGTGAAGTATTCGATATGCCAAACACAGTAACAATTGTCACAATGGAGACGTTACTGGTCCCGCTCGAGCAAATCGATGAACAACGGGAGGACAGTGACAATGACAATACCTCGGTGAGTGCAGCTGGGGGCATGGCAGTGACTTTGGATTGTGGAAGCAGGCCGCTCCCGGGGGGTTGTTTGGGCAGGCCCCCCTCCAATGTACCTCAAGTCTTGTATGGGTCTGAGATTAACTGCTGGCTTTTGATCTCTTGAAATTTATTTATGGGTCTCTGGAGCAAGGTTGGTGGAAAAGCATACATGTAGAAGAGGTTGTGGGAGCGACTGCCAGGGCTTCAAGAGTATAGGGAAATGGGGGGAGGTAGCCCATCCCAGCTCAGAGAAAGCCTGAAGAGAGATTTCCGTCACAGACTCCACATACTGAATAATATAACAGATTGATATATCTGTGAGATCTGTCCCAGGACAGTGGAGTCTGGCCAGGGAAGTGGTGCGATTTTGGATTGTTGGAGCAAGCGACTGCTGGAGTGGGGGTGGGGGCACTGGGCTCACACGCCCACCTCTGATGTACTCCAGTCTGTCCAGCCTTATGCACAGGTCCGAGAAGATGTACTGCATGTTTTTGATCTCTCTCAAGATTTATTTATGAGTGTTTGTAGGTGTGGCTCCTGCATACCTGAATTTTTGTGGTTTGATTTATCAGAAAACTTGGCCTCGAGATGTTGGAGTCCAGCCACAGGCCTAGTGGCAACTTTGGGGTGTCTGGAGCCTGAGGGCCCCATTAGGCTGCTGATGCGCTCACCCGTCGGATCCAGGTTGACCCACTGGGGTGCAGCGCCCTACGGGCCCCAGCGGTGATGGCAGCAGTGGCCCCGGGGTAAGGGCAGCTACTTGGGCACTCTGGGAGAGCCGCAGCCACCAGGCCCGCAGAACCTGACCAGGGGGCACAAACCTGGTCCTCAGGTCTGTTGTCCAGCCAGTTGGCGCTCAGGGAGTTTTTCCTCCATAATATGCTGCTGGCAGCATTCTTTAGGAGATGCCCTTTGGGGCACTGCAAGGGAACTGCAAGTGCTCACGTCGTAGGAGCAGCGGTGCACTTCAGGGCCGGCTGCCCGCAGTACTTGGGGTACCACAGCAGGAGCCGCAGGAGCAGCAGTGGAAGTTTTTAGTCTTGGCACAGCTTCTGGGTCCAGAGTGGGTGCCCGGCTGGCTGGGAGTTTCCAGGGCCACCCGGCTGCCCAAGCCAGTTGCCAAGCAGTTTTAGGTGCCAGCCTGGCCTTGAGAAGTGCCTTTTTAAAGAATTGACAATCTATTCCAGTGAAATTACAGAGCTTCTGTGCCATTGTGCCCCACAGTTCAGTTCTCAGAGCGGCCGCTGCTCCACCTGTCCAGCCCCTGCGTACACGCTGCTGCCATCTCAGCTCTCTCTTCTCTGAGTTTATACTAAATTTTATGACTGAATCGGAAGGGTGCTCCAACTGCGAGTCAGGTCCCACTGAGTCCGGCAGTTACTCAGAGTGTGCCCCTCAGACTCCTGAAGCTAGCTCCCTAGCCCCTTAGTGAAGACTTCTGGAAAGACCATCATCCTGAAGCTTTCTGTGTTGGAGGCTGGCATACCTACCAAATGCTACTCTTCTGATTCTCTTTGGAAGTTCTGTGTTTCCATATTCCTCTCTCGTTTCCTGACACATCCCTTCCCTGCCAAACATGGCCTCCTATTCTTTCTCATGTACATCCTCTTGGTTCGCATGCCCAGTTTCTGCTAGCAGAATCCTGCCTCTGCACTACAGCTTTCCTGATGCTCTCTGGTCTTCACGGATGTCTTTATTTCGAGTTTCTGAGAGCATTGAAATTAATCCATATGGTATTCCCATCATTTGCTGTATCGTGGCTCTGTTTTTTTCCAAGTAGTTTGTAAATAGAAGTATAGATCTACACATAATGCCTTGTATTCTTGGCTGTCTCTTGAATTCTGTTCACTGAGTTGATGCTCAGATATTTGTAAGCTGATTATTGGGTGGGGGGGGGGACTTAATTTGGTATTGTCATAAAAGTAAATTCCAAGTACGAAAGTTTGCAAAATGCATATTTTCAAGTCGTATGACTTGTATTACAAAATGTCTGTGTATGTAGCATGTCACACAGCAACATTTCAACTTACATTTTCCCTACCATTTCTCAATCTTCTGTGTGCATCTTTTTTTCTTTTCTTTGAAATACCAAAGTATCAGAAAAATCATATGATTTTATTACTGAAACTGATGTCTCTCTGTGCTTTAGAGAAATATCAGTGCCTTCTTCCTGTTTGGGGTGAAGGTGCCTTCCTACGTGCTGTTGAAGATGCCAGGGGCTGCTCAGACGGGGCAGTTCAACGTGAGGGCAGCGCTGTGGGGCTGCTGGGACGTGGTTTGCTGGGGTCAAACAGGTTCTGGTGCAGGCTCCTCCTCTGCCTCTCAATGTACTTTTTATTAACTGCTTTGTTTTTTAAAATTCTGTTACTTTATCATTGTCTGCTCTTCCTGTATTTCTTTTCTTTTTTTTTTTTTCTTCCCTGTATTTCTTTTTTGGGTTGGGGACCCATACAGCAGTGATCAGGGCCCTTCCTGGGTCTGCTCAGGCAGTGCTCAGAACAGATACAGTGCCGGGATTTCAGCTGGGGTCAGTCGCATACAAGGTAAGTGTCTTAGCCCCCCTACGTAATCTCTCCGGCCCTTAATCTGTTTTTCTTAAATATAATTAAAATTAATCAAGAACCTCTAACAATTTAGTAAGTAAATTTACTTTTGACCTTATGCATAACTGATACTCTGTTTATGTGGTCTGGAAGCTAGGGCGGAGAGAAAGCCCAGGGTTAAGGCACTTCCTGTGCATGCACCTGAGCCTAGTTAGATCCCTCAAGCACTGCCAGGAGCTAGCCCTGAGTGCCGCTGGGTGTAACCCAAACCCACCCCTACAAAGGCTGTGGAAGCAGTAACATGAACGAAGATAGAACGGAATTACCATCAGTCTCAGGTCCAAAAAGTAAATTTCATTATGCTAATATAACCTGCGCCCAAAATAATAATTCTTTACTTTTAGGTCACTTTCTTCAACTGATCTTTGGGGTTTGCTGTTCTAATTTTTTTATTATTAATATTTTGTAATTTGGTGTGTGTGTGTGTGTGTGTGTGTGTGTGTGTGTGTGTGTGTGTTTAAGCCAGACCTAATGGCCATACCTAATGGTGCACAGGGGACCCAGACTGAACCTACAAGCCCTGCCATGCAAAGTGTTTGCCTTGCATGCGGCCTGGGGTTTGATACCCGGCATTCCATATGGTCTCCCAAGCACTGCCAGGAGTAATTCCTGAGTGCACAGCCAGGGGTAACTCCTGAGCATCACCAGGTGTGACCCAAAAAGCCAAAAAAAAAAAAAGCTGAACAGTGTTTGATTGGCTGATTCACCCTCCCTACTATACACATAAATTCTTTTCATTTTATTTCATGACCTTGGAGAATTTTTTATATGAGTTAGTCATTGGCATTTTGCTGGTAAGTTACTAGTTGATTTCAGCCCTGCTGCTGCTCATTATAAAAGTAACACATAACACATTTAACTGCTCTCTGTATGCTCCCAGGAATTGGTATTATTCTGAACTGGACTCCTCTAGGAACTACATTTACGAATTCCCTGCTGGGGACAGAGGGTGTGTGTGTGTGTGTGTGTGTGTGTGTGTGTGTGTGTGAGAGAGAGAGAGAGAGAGAGAGAGAGAGAGAGAGACAGGCAGGCAGACAGACAGACAGACAGAGAGACATGCACTCCAGATCAAGAGCCCCTATTGGACCCCAGTTTCATATAGCTTTCCAGGCTAGCCCTGGAGGCCCTGAGTACCCCCACACTGGTCCTAATGGCCTGAACCGAGCATAGAGCCATTCCGTTCTACCCAGTTGGCAGAGTATTGGTCACGTCACCCTTGGGCCCCTGAACACTAGGCCTCTCCCCACCCACCCATCCTCCTCTGGCCAAAAAAACAAAATGTTTAGGGGTTGGAGAGATAGCTCATTAGGTGAGTGCTTGCTTTGCATCAGAGCTTGATGCCTGGCACCATATATGGTCCCCCAGTCCCCTCCAGGAGTTAGCCCTGACCACAGGGCCAGGAGTAAGTCCTGAGAACCAGTGGGTGTGGCCCCCAAATAAAAGTAGTGTTCTGCCAATGCTAAAAGTAAACTGCTGAGAATGCCAGCTTTTTAATTAAAGCAATGACATGTATTTTATTATGCTCAGGGGTTACTCCTGGCTCTGCACTCGGGAATCACCTCTGGCGGTGCTCTGGGGACCATCTGGGGTGCTGGGAATTGAACCCAGATCAGTTGTGTGCAAGGCGAATGCCCTACCCACTGTGCTATTGCTCCAGCCCCTGAAATCTTAAAACTTTTTTGGTTTTGATCCAGATTTGCCTTTGCTCTGGACTTACTACTTGATCTGCACTTAGGAATCACTCCTGGTGGTATTTGGGGACCAGTGGGGTGCCAGGGATTGTACCCAAGTGAACTGCATGCAAGATAAGCGCCCTAATTGCTGTACTATCTCTCCAGCAACTAATACACACATTCTTACTACTTGTTTTTCTGGTAAATATGTTGCAAGAGATCTGGGAGTTGAGAGCCCTCACTGTGGGGATAAAAGTTCAGTGTGCAAACTGCAGCATCTGAGGGTTTTTTGAGTGTCTTTATTTTCATCAAGCCACAGTAACATGGCAAAAAATGAATTATATGGAAAAATGCTGTTTTATCTTTCTTTTCCTTTATACTGAAGCCATTGAAGAAACTACTTCACATCTTCAGTCAGAAAGTTCATCGGACGTTCAAGCAGATGTTACAAACACAAATTCAGGTGAACCAGAAAATGTCACAGTGGCCCCCAAAGATCTCCCTGAAAACATTGTCAGCTGTGACTCCCAGGCCCTAAATATGTTAGCTGACCTAGCATTAAGCTCTGCTCCCTCTGCCCCCCCACCCTCCAGTCCCAGGAGTAGTCCCTGTTCTCCCGAGTTAACACAGAATGGTATTTTGAGTTCTAAAGAGCATTCTTTGCGAGGTACATCTGACCACGAATATCACAGAGGAGTCAGAAGTCCAAAAAGTGGCCTATTGACTGTCCTCCCCACTGATGAGAAGAGTCTTTCTGTGTCGGACCATGCTGGCTGCCAGGAGGAGGAGAGAGCGCTTTCGGGCTGCCAGGGCCCTTCTGCAGCCCCGTCGGCACTTACCGAGGAGAGGCTGGAAACTTCCCCAGATCAAAACTCCGTTGTTGCTGTGGAACATTCTTATGCCCTTCTCCATGTGGAGCATTTGAAGCAGAGTTCTCAGCAGAGAGGGGTGGTTGGCCCTGGCTTCACCAAGACTGGCACAAAAGGCCCTGAAGCAGGAACTCCAGTGGGAAAAGTAATGCCTTTTCGGCATCAGCAGATCATGTCTCCTCTCCAGAAGCTTCCTGGGAACCCTCTCCTGAAGCGTAAGACTAGATCGCTGTCTTCCAACCCGAGAGATTTTTGCTGCTCTCGTACTGTGTTTAACTGTGAAGGATCCTTCAAGGTCACTTTCAAGTGTGAACCAGAGTATGCGTTCAACTTAGACAGCAAGTATACCAACAACCCACTGGAGAAAACAGTACTGCGAGCATTACACGGGTAAGCATTGAGACACCTGCTGCCATGAGTTAGGAATAGGGGGGACTGTTGGGGCCAGCTTTGGGGAAGGAGGGGACTTCTTGTATGATAGCACTGTTTATCTTGTTTATTGATGATGAGAAATATGGGAGCGGTCTGCTACTGTCAGTGATCAACATGGGAAAAGTGCAAAATAACTGCGGCTTTGGAAACCGCTTTTCAAACTTGAAACGCTCCTTTGAAGCCCTTGTGGTCATTGGATTAGAATATTAAAACTAGAACTTAGGTAAACTAGTGGGCTACAGTAATAACGTTGGAAAGAACTCTTTCGGCCAAGAATGGTCAGGTTGCTCTGAGTGAACAGTTAGACATGTGCAGAGGGGTGGGGTCAGAGTAGTGGCCGTGGTGCAGGCCAGGTCTTGGCATCCAGCCCACGCGCTTCCTGGAATTTTCTGTGCTTTGGAAGTGCTTGTGCTGCAGGACAGTGCTGCTTAGGCCTGAGGGGTGAAGTTCCCTCTCACTCAGTGTCTCTGCATGGGTCCTATGTGCCCACATTTCTAGCCTCCTCAGGGATGACAGCCTTGAACAACACTTAAGTGCGGGTTTAGTCATGCCTTTGTTATGATGCAGTGTCTGTAGAGGTTTCACTTGGTGAGTAGCACATCTCAAGTAGCAGCCCCTCCTATTAACAAGTAGCATTAGCGCAGTTTGTGCCATGACTCCACTAGTGGAACATTTCTCATATAAACCACTGAATTGGATCCAACGTCTTGCATTCTCCTGGTTAAAAGATCATGCTCATGGGGTTGGAGCTCTCTGAGTGTTGACAGCGGGTAAGGCACTTTCTTTGCACACAGCCGACCTCGGTTTGGTGTCCAGCATCTCATATGGTCCCCCTGAGTACTTCCAGGAGTGATCCTTATGCACTGAGCCAGGAGTAAGCCTTGAGTACCTCCAGGTATGGCCCTCCCAAAACCAAATAATATTCACACGAATAAGTGCATATAAATAAATCTCCAACTACTTCGAGGGGCTTTTATTTCTCCTGAATCCCCACTCAGTGTCAGGACTCATCCCACTCCAGAACTCTGCTGCCCAGCACCTGGAAGGTGGTTGCTCCCAATGCTTAGTATTATACCTTAGGGATTCTGGAGACTTTTCCAGAATTAAAGTTTAAAATTCTACCGAATTTTCCAGAGTTACTTGAACCTACAGGTTTTCCCAATTAGGAGACACAAAAATAGAAATTAGATAGCCGGTCTCAGGAAAAGCAAGGAGATGACTGTGTTGTTGAAACATTATTCATATAATAGGCAGATCGAGTCCAGAGATCGTGTGGTTGGAACGAAAATGTAGGATCAGGAGTCCAGAGGTCTGTGTCATCTGCTCACCACCGAGATAGCTTTTTAGTTTCCTTCTATCACAGTAATGATGGATTCAGTACTGTGTTGTTTTTGTCTTTATTTAGTCTTGTATATATTTGTATAATTTTCTTAAGTGAAAACAAAAGCAAGGGTTAATAATGAAGGCCCTTGCTTTTGATAAAAAAAAAAAAGTCGACCAAAATAACCACTTTGGTGCTTTGTGTCTGTGCCTTAAAACTGCAGGCCCTGGAATACCAACCTTCCTGACAACGTGGAAGAAGTAAAGCTCCTGCTTCATATGTGGGTGGCTCTGTTTTACAGCAGCCACAACAAAATTTTGCGGTCATCTCGAAGAGTGGTTGAACACAGTAACCCAGCAAAGTATGTGTCTATCAATAGCACAGTAGACTCTTTTGAACTCAGTGAAAGTGAGGACCCCCTTAGTGTGGACACACTTTTGGAGGATAGTGTCACCCCCAGGGCTCAGACGACTACAGTGTTCCCCGACACTAACACGGTGCTTCCTCTCCTTAAACCACCGTCAGCCAGAGGCTTGGGACTCTGGGTTCAGAATGATCAGGAAGAAGCATTTACAAGAGAGGCCCATCCAGACACTCCACAGAGACAAAGTTTTGTCTGTTCTCGTGAGAGCGAGGTAAGTGAAAATGAGTACTGTGCTATTACTCATGATTGAAGAACATTTGTTTTTTGGTTTTTATTTAATTTTTTGCTTTTTGGGTCACTTGTTAATGCACAGGGGTTATTCCTGGCTCTGCACTCAGTAATTACTCCTGGCAGTGCTGGGGGACCATATTGGATGCTGGGAATCGAACCCGGGTCAGTCACGTGCAAGGCAAATGCCCTACCTGCTGTGGGATGCTGAGAATCAAACCTGGGTCGGCCACGTGCAAGGCAAATGCCCTACCTGCTGTGGGCACTTTAGCCCCACGATTGAAGAACATTTATGTTTCATATGTGAAATCATTACAGGGCAGGCATTGGGTTTGGAGGGAGGAAGCTTGAGGGAGGAGGGGATTCTGGGGGACCATATTGGATGCTGGGAATCGAACCCGAGTCGGCCATGTGCAGGGCAAATGCTCTACCTGCTGTGGGCACTCCAGCCCCACGATTGAAGAACATTTATGTTTCATATGTGAAATCATTACAGGGCAGGCATTGGGTTTGGAAAGAGGAAGCTTGAGGGAGGAGGGGATTCTGACTGTATTAAGGGTTATACCAGAAGTGACAATTGGTTTCCCTGAGTTGTAGTTTTCTGCAGCCCTAGTGTTCTAAGGTTCTCGGCTGAAGAAATCCAAGTTGAGAAAGATCACAGTGATTATTTGATCTGCGAGCTCAACATAAGGGTGTCACTTAACAGATCTGTGTCATTTGGGGCAAGTTATTTCTTTTTTTTTTTTTTAATGTAGGAGTACTGATATTTATTCAGCCACTGATTAGCTGACTGAATTGGGCATGAACTCCACCTTACCTTTTTTTTTTTAATTTTGTAATTTTTTTTTTTATTGAATCACCATGAGAGCAGTTACAAAGCTTTCGGGTTTAAGTCTCGGTCTCATACAATGAAACACCCGTACCTTCACCAGTGCCCATTCTCCACCACCAAAAACCCCAGAATACCCCCATCCCACACCCTCCCCCTACCTGTGGGGCAGATGATTTCCACATTACTCTCTCTCTCTACTTTGATTACATTCAATATTTTGACACCAGACCCACCATTATTATTTGGGATTTTACCCCAACACTCAGATCTGCTAAAAAGGCAACAGTAGACAATTTGTTTTCTATTGCTGGTTATATGATATCGTGTGGCTGCAGTAGTGACCACGCGATTTTGAAATTCCGAAATTTTAACAATTAAATCTGGAGGGATTTCTACCCAAACTTGCTGGGTTCCAAGATTTGTTCCTTAGTCTCTGGGATCATGGCCATTAAGCACCTTGATCAGGAGCCAGAAAGGCCGTTCAGGGTGGTGACTTAGGGTCTCGTTGGGATGGGGAAGAAAGGGCTGGCTCCACCCCATCCCATGAGGCCTCATGTGTCTCATCACTGAGGAGGGAGCAACACCCTTTCCCTCCCGGGGAGGCATGGTGCCATAATCTAACACATGGTCCATTCACATTTCTGCCGCAAGCTGCTGGGCTCTGGAGTAAGTCCTTTTGCCTCTGGAGCCACTTGTGGGGGGGCAACTCATGACCTCGGTAGAGCATGAAGGACAAGATGGTACCGCCCCCCTTCCCATGAGACTGCAGTTGCCCCATCACCGCTGGCTCATACCTGGCTTTCCAATAAGATCTGAGGCAGCAGCCACCTTGTATGCCGTTCAGATGCATTTCTGCCAAAAGCTGCTGGGTTTCGAGATTTGTTTCTGAGTCTCTGGGATCATGGCCGTTAGAATTAGCTTGATCAGGAGCGAGAGAGGCCATTTGTAGGCAGCGACTCGGGGTCTCGCTGGGATGGGGAGAAAAGGGTCGGTTCCACCCCCATCTGGTGAGGCCCCACTTTTCTCGTCCATGCAGGCTCAAACCTGACTGTCCAGTGTCCTCTGGAGGATGGTGGTCACTAGGCCGCCAAGGGGAACAGGCCAAGGCACGAAACCTATTCCCACCTAGAGTGGCCCAGCACCAGTAACCTACTGCAGGAACAGGATGCATTTCTGCGAAAAGCCTTTGGGTTCCGAGATTTGTGTCTCTGGGATCATGGCCGTTAAACAGTTTGATCAGGAACCAGAGAGGCCATGCCTCCAATTATATAGCTGTGCTGGAGGTAGTTTGTGGGTGTGTCTCCCACATACCTAACTTTTGGCCATTTACTTCCCTGGTAAACTTTGCCCCAAGTTTTTGGGGTCTAGCCAAAGGCACAGCAGCAATTTTGGGGTATCTGAAAGTCTGACAGTGCCATCAGGCTGTTGATGCACTCGCCTCACAGGTACAGATTGACCTGCTGGCAGCACCATACCCCCCAGGCTGAACGTTTTAACTGGAACAATCAGAAGTTACTAAGGTCTAGAGAGGTAGTATGTAATTGGTTGACAGAAGACCTGCTCTTTGAAGCTTTTGACCAAGATATGTTATTTTCACTTATATCCCATCTTATTACTAATTAGTACCTTATGTTTCCTGTTCCTCTGTGATAGACATATAATAATGAGAAAGAAATTATCTCCAGTTGTAAACAAAGAGCATAGCTATTGGAAAGGTAAGGGGCCTTTTCTCAGAGGAGATTGCGTCCTTAAAAAAACTACTAATCAAGAGAGAGAGTTAAATAGAAATCATCTGCCTCACAGGCATTGGGAGGGGTAGGAGGGGGTATATTGGGGTTCTAGGTGGTGAAAAATAAGTACTGGTGAAGGGAAAGATGTTTGATCATTGTATGACCGAGACTTAATCTTGAAAGCTTTGTAACTTTTCCCACAGTGATTCAATAAATAAATTTAACAAAAAAATAAATAAAAATAGAAATTGCACATGACACACAAAGATGTGGATAACAGCAAGATAGGAGAAAAGTTTGCCAAATTCTATACTGAGAATGGAAATAATAAAAATAAAAATATGATTTGTACCCAGAAAAACCCCTACTAATCAGTGTGTTGTGTCTGAGGGACTGTAAATATATACTGCTTTCCTCCCGGGAGTTAGAAAGTTATTCTGGAGGGAGCCAAGTGCTGGGATGTATTTTCCTTCCTTGAGTTCATCCCTCGCACCAGAACTGTGCCATGGGGGTCACTTTGCTGTGCAGGACTCCCCAGTGTCCAGCTGGCCTTGGACTTTTGCCCTGGCCCTGAGTTGTTTTCTTTGCTATTTAAGAGTATCTTTCTAGAGGCCAGAGTGATAGTACAGCGGGGAGGGCATTTGCCTTGCATGTGGCCAACCCGGGCTCGATCCCAGGCATCCCGTATGCTCCGCTGAGCATTGCCAGAAATAATTCCTTAGTGTAGTGCCAGGAGTGACCCCTGAGCATCACAAAAAAAAAGTCCATTCATTCCCCCCACCTGCTCCCAAAAAATTACCTTTCTAAACAAACAAAACAACCCAGAAGGGCTGGCGCAATTGTACAGTGGGTAAGGTGCTTGCCTTGCACAGAGTGGATCAGATTCAATCCCCAGCACCCCATATGGCTCCCCTGTGGTTCCCAAGCTTACTAGGAGTGAGCCCGGAGTACTCCTAATAGGGGGCCAGGGGGAAGGCCTTTTTGGGTCAACAGGCTGAGCCTTTGCTTCACATGCATGAGGCACAGGTTTGAACTTGCTGTACCACAAGCACTGTCAAGTTACCTTCAAGCACAGAACAGAGTAGGCCCTGACCTCTACTGGGTGTGGTCCCCCCAGATAAAAAATTTATTTTAATCGTACTGAAAATAAATTTCTCTATATTGCTACCATTCTGAATTATATAAAGTGTGAATCCATGTCATTTTAGGCTTCATTTTCAACTTTTCTCAGTTACCAGTGGCCTAATCCCATTTTCCTTTCCAAAAATCCACTTGAAAGGCTAGAGAGAAATGAAGGAAAGGCACAGGCCTTGGATGGTTTGACCCTGGTTTGATCCATGATGTCACATGGTGCCCTCCCACTACTGACAGGATGACCTGACTCATCCCCAGCCCCCATGGCCCAGGCAGCGTCACAGCCTGAACCCCTGGTCCACTTGACTGCCTCAGCACTTCATACATCTTTCAAAATTAGGCTTTGTGGTTTAACTCAGGCTCTTACCTGTGTGCGTGTTAAAAAAGAACTCTCGGGGCTGGAGAGATAGCACAGCGGGTAGGGCGTTTGCCTTGCACGCGGCCGAGCCGGGTTTGATTCGCAGCATCCCATACGATTCCCTGAGCATCGCCAGGAGTAACTCCTGAGTGCAGAGCCAGAAGTAACCCCTGTGCATCGCCAGGTGTGACCCAAAAAGAAAAAAAAAAGAACTCATATTTGCGGAATTCTCCTGATTCCTATATTGTGATGTTCATATATCTGAAGATTGAGGAGAACAAACTGAAATCTGTCCTTGTATATAAACGTTTTTGAACCTGATGTTTTTATTTTTACTTTCATCATAGACAATTGAAGAAAAAGATGAACAAGAATCATCAGATAAACTAGAAACCTCTAATTTTATGTTCTCTAATATTGGAAGTTCCCACACATCTATTCCTTCTGTTCTTGGTGAAGATAGGCCCTTGGAGCCACTTGACAGCGCAAGAGTGGTGATTTCCACTGATGATATCACACGAGCCACAGCCTTCGAGATGTGCAGCAGGCTCACCAGTCAATCTGTCAGCTGTGACGAGTCAGGGTACAGCACCCTGGAAACCCCGGAAAGCCAAGCCAACATTTTCCAGACAGCAGTGCAGACAGACAGTGATGCTCTCCAGGGCCTCATCCCTCAGAATGGCCCGTCCAATGGCCCGTCCAAAGATTGTGAGTCTCCTTTGGAAAAGAAAGATGGCAGTACCGAGTATGTGGTGATCAATCTGGAGCCAATCACTCTCACTTTTGAAAAACATGCGTATGTACCAATACAGACAGAAATTGTAAATAGAACCGATATTCCTGCAACGTTCAATCTGGAGCTGATCAAACAGAAGCCACCTTCTCCGAGTATAACAGGTTCTGTATCATTCGAGAAGGCACAGACAGAAAATAATGGTGACATCAGGTCTCTCGCAGTGCCAGGACAAATAGACACTAAGTTCCTTTGTGCCTTCCCATTAAGTAGAGAGCCACATGCTGAAGAAATATGTTCAGTAGAGAAGGAGGTTCCTGTTGCAGGTGCCTCGTTGCCACCTGCTAGTGCAGTGCTAATGGAGGCATTATCATTAGCTCAAACTTCAAAGTACTTGTTACCCAGAGAGGAAACAAACCGCTCTCGGGACCTGGCTCTGCAGTCCTCAGGAGTCTTGAGCATCTCTTCAGAAGAGATTATCGTGCCTTCCCAGGTCAAAGAAGTCTCCGTGCAAAATCACTCACTTAACCACATTTCATCAAATAGTAATACTGCAGATGGTTCTTTAGAATTAAGGAATGACAACTGTGCTATTAACAGTGAAAATGTGAATTTTGAATCAGTTAATTTAGCATTTGCCAAACAAAGCACTTTGTCTCTGAGCAAAGAGATCAGTTTAGAGTTATCAGAGGAAGATTCTGACATCAACCTAACTCTAACAGTATCACCGCCTCCCAGCCCCAGAGAAGCACCATGTGGGAAAGTAGCCCCAGAGCAGCAGGACTTGTTCACAATTGCACACGTTCAGCACACGGGTGAAGAAAACATTAAGCCTGAAGGGGCAGCTTTCAGAGAAAACATAGAAGTGAATTCCAGTTCCACATCCATGTGTCCTGTAGAGGCAGCCAAACCATTAGAAAATAAGGAACAAGTAGGCAATCATGTCCAGCCTTTAACTGTTGTACTTCCTCAGAAAGACAGTACCCTTGACATTGTCGAGGAAATTCGTGTTCCCTCAGATTTCCCCTTTGGCTCTTTAATTGAAGAAGTGTCACCAGCTTCTAGTCCTGCCCCCCGGGCTCCTGTTGCAGAAACACAGCCTGCTCAGGCCAGTATAAAATACCCATGTATAGATGGCGAGAGAAATGACAGATGCTCCCAATTTGAGTCAGGAGATTCAGCCATAAATGAAGAAAATGTTTTTATTAGTCCTACCCATCCAGTCGCACAACATAACTTAACTCAGGTACTGGAAACACAGCCCTCTGCTGAAAAGCCTCTGCTGTTATATAATCATCCAGAAGGAAAAGAGAGACATTTAACCATCCCCAGTAGCACCTCTGAGGAAATTGCCCCAGGTGAGCCTGGTGAAGGTATCTTTTCCTCAGAGCAGACTCAGGGTTCAGACTTAGCTACCAATCACATTCATGACCTCAGATCTTCTCTCAAAATGTCAAGAGATCCGCTGTGGCCAATTCATGTGGAGAACAGAAACCCAGACTTAAATCATCCTGTCTTTAAGATCAGCAAGCTTCCATTTAGTCCCCAAAGGCGTCTGGAAAGTAAGACTTCAACAGACACATTGACTTCCACAGCTGCTCCAAGTAATGGAATGAACACGTCATCCGAACCGCAGATGAGCCTTAAGAGCATGATGCAGACATTCTCTAGCGGGGAAGGGAATTACATACAAGTCAGGCCCTTCGAGTTGGCCTCTGCGGATGGGGGTGATAGCACACAGACACATGAGTATTCAGAGAGGCCCCAAACCACTGCCCCCTCTGATGGTGCCCCGCCAGCCTACTTTCCACCACAGGAAGTAGCAGGAGTCAGAATGTCCACTCAGCCTAAGAGTACCGAAACTGAAGTTCAGTTACAAGATGTCACAGATGGAGGCAGCTTTGTCTCTCAGACACACACCACAGTTCCAAAGGGTGGACAAGTCACATCAGTGTCTGAAATCAAAGATCCATGGGGTTCTCAGCTTATTTTCCCAGGTGCTGGTTCTTCCCCAGACAGAGCCATATCGAGTGACACAGTGAGTAGTGAGCCTTCTGCTTCCTCTGTTCCCAAATCTAGCGACACTATTTGTGGTGTATCTGAAGAGCAGACAGAAGGGAATGGCCCTGGTGAGAGGCCCAGGCCCTGGGGTCATGCAAGAGCCCTGAGCAGAGACTTGGATGTCAATGCAAACTCGCACATGCACCGTGAACCCTCTTCTGGCGACTCTGATGCATACTCTCCAGGTGCTGGTAGAAAACCTAAATCTGACCTGCAGGAACCCCCATTTACTCTGCGGTGTAATCGCAGCAGAAGAAAAGAGGAGGGCAGCGCTTTCCAGCTCGCACGCACAAATGATCGGGAAAACTGGGGCTATTCAAAGCAAATCCCAGGATTGGAGACTTCTAGAAATGGGGGCTTCGGATTAAAGAAAGATAAGTGTGCACCACGTTTTATTCAGATCCGAGATGTCCGTGGCATCCCCAGAACTTACGCTAACTTCACCATAACTAAGGAGTGTGAGGATGCTTCAGGGACGCGCCCACAGTATGATTTGCTCAGCTCCTGGGTAAACACATGGCAGGCAGCAGGCAGCCTCACCCAGAGGACAGTAGATCTGGAGTATCTGCGTTTTGCACATAAACTAAAACAAATAGTAAAGAACAGAGTTTCTCGGCATTCTGTTCCTGCCACTAGTATATTTCCAAAGGAATCCTCTCGAAGTGAAGCTTTCCCTTTGACAAAAACACCCGAGGGCCCATGTCCTATGGCCCGAAGCAGAAGTCCCCTGATGGTAACCATTGTGCACCCAGATCCTGGGCAGTGTGTGCATGCCAGAGGCCACCTACCCACCAGTGGTTTGGACAGTTTTCCCTTTTGGAAGGAGAGAAGTCTCAGTAGAAAGCTTGCCAATCCTGAGAGAAAGACTGTTTCCTTCCACCTCAACAAACTGAAATATAACAGTACTTTGAAAGACCCCCGGAATGATATTTCACTTATTCTGAACGAGTATACCGAATTCAATAAGGTGATGGTGGACAGCAACCAAGTCATCATCCCAGAGGGTGAACCCAGTGTTGCTTCTGGGGGCACCTTGCTGGAAGAGATGTGCTCCTCTTTCCCGAGAAGGTGTGCCTCCTATGAAGACATGATCACAGACTTATGTGCCAGCCTGCATATCCGACTGAAGAGCGTCATGAAAGAAGCCCGTAAGAACACCTTCCTGTTCTATCTTGTGGAGACAGAAGACAAGTCATTCTTTCTAAGAACGAAGGTATGCCAGATTTTGCTGTTTAATTTCAATTTAAATTGTAGTAGTACATTCAGTGCTCTTGACTTTCAGAACATGATCCTGATTTGGGGTCTCAGTCTCACAACTTCATGGTTTGTGGCTCTAAGGAAGTGCCATCAATACTAGAAGTGGGTGGTATTCCTGAATGAGTGCAGTGATGGATTTTCACAGAAATTTGTCAGACACACTAATATCCCAATGGAAACACAGTCCAAAGCAAAAATACAGATTTGAAGGAAATAGAGGCCAAGAAGATAGCTCAGGATTCCAGTGCTCTGCAGGTATCAGGACCCAAATCTGAACCCAGTACACTTGCCCCTCACCCAAGCAAGCACTCCTAGGTGTAGCTCTTGACACCTCAGAAGCACTGCTGGCGTGACCCTGGAATTCCCCGGCACTGAGCCACCAACCCAGTACACAGGCTGTTGGCTGGGAGTGACCCCTAGGTGCCCTGATCATTTCCTGGGATGGAGGCCCTTTCCTCCTACTCACCCCCAAAGAAAAATTATGTTTTATGCACACACAGCTTGGGAGCTGCCCAATGTCTGTCTGTAAGTACATGTACACAGCCTCAGCCCCACCTCCATTAGTGCGGCTTGTTGAGACTTGGGGCTGGAGTGATAGCACAGCAGGTAGGGCATTTGCCTTGCATGTGGTTCGATTTCTTTGTCGCTCTTGGAGAGCCCAGCAAGTTACCCAGAGTATCCTGCCTGCACGGCAGAGCCTGGCAAGCTCCCCATGGCGTATTCAGTATGCCAAAAACAGTAACAACAAGTCTCACAATGGAGACATTACTGGTGCCTGCTCAAACAAATCGATGAACAACGGGAGGACAGTGCTACAGTGCAGTGCAGTTGAGATTCACGGCTGAGCTATTATATCAGTGTATTTTTACCTGGAGATATGACTCACCAGTGCTTGGCACCACAAGGCTGTCAAGGATTTGGGACACTTGTCAGTCACAGGACAGAGGCTTAGGAATTGAGTCCTGTCCCAACATAAACCAACTACTGCTTGGTTTTCTTCAAAATCACTCTCCATTGGTGAGATTGAAAGCATATCTCAGGAATTACAGTATTATTTCCAAAGCATTTTGACTGACAACTGCACGTTAGGGGTAAACGTGTGTGTGTGTGTGTGTGTGTGTGTGTGTGTGTGTGTGCGCGCGCGCGCGCGCGCGCACGTTGTCCTATTTCAAAAGATTTGGCCTTTAATTCTTTACGGATATAAAATCATACAATGGTATTTTTTGTCTTTTGTAAAAGTAAACTTGCACACCAGCTAATAGTGACATGTGTTTTATGGGTAAATGCTTAGTAATAAGACAGCCAGTAATACGCTTAGTAATAAGCATTGTTAGGATTTAAATTACGTGCTTTATGCTATCCATTATCCATGTATTTTACAATAACTTCTGTGCTCTGTAACTCTTTCAGAACATTCTGAGGAAAGGAGGCCACAAAGAAATTGAACCTCAACATTTCTGTCAAACCTTCCACAGAGAGAATGATACGCTAATAATCATTATCAGAAATGAAGATATAGCATCACATTTGCATCAAGTAGGTTTGGGTGTTTTATTAAAAGAGAAACATGTTCTAGGCATTCTGTTGTTCGGTAAGTCAGCATTGCTGTTGTTTATCTTAGAGAAGTTAAAACCCATTGAATCTGTAACTCAGATAATGAATCAAGTAAGAGGTATAGGATTTTATATTACCCCAAGTATGTATAGGGAAAATTATGTTTTGTAAAGAAAACTTTGATTTATAGTACCTAAGGAAGAACTTTTAAAACAGGAAAGAATGGTCAGTTTCTCATCTGAGATATAAATTGGCACCTCTTGAATGTCTCACATTAGGATTTACGAAAAACTTTGCTCAGTTCTACTATATATGTATTTCCTTATTCTTTGATTAAAATAATTGCTGTCCTAAGATAGAGGGGAGTGGTCAAGGGGCAGTAATTGAACCCTCAAAAGAGACTGTGACACCACACACAAGGGAGCTGATGCCAGCATTTCACCTGCCTCATAATTTACAGGGCCCCAAAATATGAGCCTAGAGACACTCCCCTTATTCGGCCTACCTCAGCCTTTTGACTTGGAGAAGTAACTTTGTAATGAATGAATTTAGTTCTTGTCTTTTGTTGGGCAGAGGTTAGTCACCATGGGGCCAGAATGACAGTACAGTGGGTAGGACATTGCCTTGCATGCAGCCAACACAGGTTCAGTCCCTGGCATCCCATACGGTCCCCCACCTAACGCCAGGAGTGATTCCTGAGTGCAGAGCCAGGAGTAACCCGTGAGCATTGCTGGGTGTGACCCAAAAAGGAAAAAAAAGACAGAAGGTCACTCACCTCGATTAAAAGTGTGCTCAGCTTCTGAACCCCCGAGCTATGAGCTGCTCCTCACTGGGGCCCTCCTTTTGTTTCTCCAGATTCCTTCTTTGCTGAAGCTGAAACATTTTCCCAATGTCCTCTTTGCTGGAATCGACAGCCCTGAGGATGTACTTGATTATACCTACCAAGAGCTGTTTCCAGCAGGTGGCTTCGTGGTATCAGATGACAGAGTATTAGAAATGTTAACATTAGGTTGGTCTTTTATTTTCCTGCATTTTTTGTTTTTTCTTTTAAACTGTCAAGTTAGGGGCCAGGTTGGTAGTATAGCGGGTAGGGTGTTTGCCTTACACGTGGCCAACCCAAGTTTGATCCCTGGTATCCCCTATGGTCCCCTGAGCTTTGCCAGGTGTGATCCCAAAAGCCAAAAATAAACTGTCCAATTAAGTTCCAATAAAAAAGTCAGCAGGTGGGGGTCTTTCTTTTGAAAATCCCCAGCCGTGATCGTATTAGTGGTTAGTACTCTGCGTTGTGAAAATTCCTCCAAATTATGTGCTTGAACACTGCATTTTCCCAGCCCACCAAATTGGGGGGGTGGGGAGGCACATTGGGGGGCGGGGACCACACTCGGTGATGATCAGGGGTTGCTCTTGGCTCTGCTTGGAGGACCATATGAGATGCCCAGTATCAAATCAAGGTTGTCAGAGTGCAAGGCAAACGCCCTCCCTGCTCTAGCCCCTCAGGGCACCAAATTTAAGGAGTATTAGTCACAGTTTAAATGTGTCCATTTGACTCCTGGCCCAGCTCTCTCTAGAGCTTGAGGCCTCTCCCACGGTGGTGTAGTGTCAGTTGGCGGGACTTCAGTCAGGAGCTGTTTTCAAATCCTGCCTGGCTCCACAGTCAGCAGTGATGATACATTCAACAGCATCCAGTTTTTCACAATTAAAATAAAAATTACTTTTACAAGATGAGCCGACACCCTGAAGTATCTTCTCTTGCCACTGATCTATTCTGTAGTTCAGCTGAAAGAAGTTGTTAAAATCCTGGAGAAACTAAATGGAAATGGAAGGTGGAAATGGTTCCTTCACTACAGGGAACAGAAAAAGCTCAAAGAAGATGTCAGGTAAGAGCTTTATGGAGAGGTTTGAATCTGAGGGACATTAGGGCTCCTCTGGGCCACAAGTTAATGTAAACTTCTCTCATACCCTTCTTCGCCCCCAAATTATTTACACAGCACCTGGTTAACTGCATAGATATAAAAAAAGTTGTGCAAATGTCCAGCCATTACTCAGCCCCCAGTTTGACCAGGTCAGTGGGCTGAGGGCATGGTTTGGCATGCGGGAGGCCCAAGTCTGATCCTCCGCACCATATTTTCAGACGAGATCGGGCGCGTTCAGGGTGGTATGGCCGTAGATCCGCACCATATTTTCAGGACCTTCCTCTGTCACGCACACACGGGAACATTTTAACACCAAAGAATAGACAGGAGAACCATAAGCAGCCTATCTAGTTCATTGTTAAGAGTATTTTATAGCTGAGGCTGCCTAGTTCTAGCCCAGGTAGGGACAGAAGAGTAAAAACGGGACCTGGAGCTAGGAAAAGACCCAATGTTTTGCAGAAGGTGAGTCACGGGACACCTGCTTCATTCTAATGAGGTCAAGTGGGGCACAAGCTTGGTTTTGAAGCTGGTTTCAGCTGGCAAAGGTGTACAGAAACCTAGAAAGCGCAACATTTAAGGGGACTCAAAAGTTGCGGCAAGGGAATGAAACACCACAAACGGGTTTTCAGCGGGAATTTACTTCAAACCAAATTTCTATAAAGATTGTACTAGCAACTAGTGGGGATATGGATCTTTCCAAGCGAACATGACTGGAGAGACGGAATCAAGAACAAAGCTGGAAGCTTGGCAGTTTTCTTCTAGAAGAGGAAGACCAAAGGTCATACCAAGGTTGAAGGGAGGTGAGAAATCACTATAGAGGGGATGGCCAGAGTGTGCGGTGGTCCAAGTGCCTTCCCTACAGCTGAGCCTGTTGCTTTCCCAGGTACTGCATGGTTGCCCAGTCAAAAAAGGAACAGAAAGACAAACCTGGGGCAAACACAGTGACCTTGCTGAGGGTAGCCAGAGATGAGGCTGAAGCCTCCCATGTGCAGTAGTGGAGCATTACAACACTGAGCCATAATGCCACGCATTTTTTAAGCTTTATTTTCAAAAGTAGTAAGCTCTCAAGAAGTTACTAGAATAGGACGGAAACAAAGATACCATCCAGCATTTATAACATGATTAAAACTAAGACACAGGGAGGGGGTGGAATACAAATAAAACTTAACAGCTGAAAATATATGTAAAAGTTAACTTTCCCTTTTCCAGAGTGGATTCAACTGCACATAAAAAGAACTTAATACTGAAGTCATGCCAGAGTGCAAATCTCATTGAATCGCTTCACTACCATCAGTGTGATTCCCAACAGCCGGCAAAGGGCGACTATTTGCAATGTCTGCGGAGCCTGCAGGTCCAGCACATCTGCTCCAGGTTCGCCATCTTCCTGACAGGCAAGTTTCCCTCAAGTATTTCTCCTGGCCATAAACAATGTAGGGGTATAGCTTTTACCTTTTTCCTTTTTGGGGGCGGGAGGGTGGGTCACAAACTTTTTAGTAAGATGGGGATTGTGTTATGCTATATATAAAAAAAAAGAGTATATAAATGAAGTTTTCACCAAAATAGGTGTTTTTTTTTCTCACAGAAAAGCCTGCAGGTTCCAGAGAAGTCTTCGAAAATAGTGGCATCCTTGTTACAGATGTAAAAAACTTTATTGAAAATATACAGAAAGTAGCAGCTCCATTTAGGAGTAGCTACTGGTAATATTTTATGCAACTCTCCCACTGTGAACTGGAATGAACATTGGATGTGTTTATGGATGGACGCACACTATCTGAACATGTGCATTTCATGGAAGATTTCAGTCGCATCCTTCATATGAAATATTTGGTTTAGACAGTGTTGACATCACCTTAATATTTATTTATGCTTGGCTAATAAAATACCTGGTTTCATTCAGTAGCTTTTAATTAGGTTTGAGTGGGCCATTTAAATACTTTCACAAATTATTTTAAGAATGCCTTCAGTGCTATTCATTGAAAATAATTGTACAAACACAATTGCTCCATTATGGCAGAAAAAATGGTTCTTGCATGTTAGTATCAGAAAACTCATGTGGTGAGAAAAAAAACAAGACATTCTTCAAACAACACTAAGGTTTTTTCCTATGTGGTAAAATTTTATAGGCTGGTATTTTTCAGTTACTCAGTTTTTGTACATAGTACACTACAAAATCAGCCTTCTGGGAGGAAGAGAAAATAATAATTTTATTTATGATATTAGAAATAGATTTCTACAATAAACGAAGCAAATACATTTCTAAGAACAACTTTTTGTAACTATTTTTGTTTCATTTTTTAATAAAGAAAAATTAAAAAATTAAACTGTTTCTGTAATCTACCCTACTGTTATATCACTTTGCTTATGGGATGTTTTGTCTTTCAAAGGAGGTGCGCGAACTTTACACATAATGCAGTTTCTCTGGAGGACTAAGAAGTTGCCAGTAGCACTCCAAGAAATGATTATCTAAGACTATAACTGCCTTTGGTGCGTGTTTCACCAAAGACCATTTATTGCTTTCTTATAGCTTCCCCTCTTTCAGTTTTACTTTCTTCGTACCAGGCTGGCCTGGCACATTAAGTAGTAAATGCCGGCATTTTTTTTTTCTACTGTTAACCTAGATTATTACACCTTAGCCTGCATTAACAGTTTACAACTACTCTGGCAAAGGAAGAGACTGCTAGAAGAACATAAGGCAAAATGTATATACGGGGGGGTTGGAGCGATAGCTCAGCGGGTAGGGCGTATGCCTTGCACGCAGCCAACATGGCCGACCCAGGTTTGATTCCCAGCATCCCATATGACCCTGAGCACCGCCAGGAGTAATTTCTGAGTGCATGAGCCAGGAGGAACCACTGAGCATTGCCAGGTGTGACCCAAAAAGCAAAAAAAAAAAAAAAGTATATACGGTTATGGTGTTGTTTTGTCACACTACTGGCATCGAATGGCTAGAGATGAGACGCTGCAGAAGCATCTAAACAATCTGGCCAAAAAGAATAGCAAGAGATTTTAAAAATCAAAAGAACCCTCTTTATCTGCGTAACGATTGCCCTAAAAATTCAGCCTCGGCTGGGGCTGGAATGACTAAATACAGAAGTTAAACCACTTGCCTTGTAATATGGTCCCTCTCCCCCTGCCACCACTGAAAGAAAAACCAAAAATACAAGAAAATAAATGTGTGGTACATGCTTAAGTAGGGGGAAAGGAAATTATCAATAAAACCAACCAGTTCCAGCTGCATGAAGAATACTAACGAGACCACCAATTTGCTGATTCTCTTCTCACTGCTCAAAACAGCAGAACTACCATAGTAGCCTGTGTTCATCTGGAGAATGCTCCGTCAAAACCTGCACTTCTCTGGGCTCCCTCTGACCAGGTTGTCTTCCTATCTGTCTGGTTCTACCAATAGGCATAGCCTTGGATATCCTTTTGACCCCATCAGTTGAGAAATGCCAGTCTTAACTATTTTAGCATTACACTGTATCAAACCTGTTACTTGGGATGTTCACAGTGAAGCCATCTGAGAGTCACTGAGTGCAGCCAGATTCAATCCTGACTCGAGCAGTCTGAGCCTGCACACACCTCCCTCTGGCTGCCCGGCCTGAGCATCAGCTCTACTGAGCAACTTTTCCAGCAGCACAGCAGAAACTATTCAAACATCAGGACACACAGAGGAACTAGGAAGGAGCTGGTTTCCAGAGTTTGGCTTTATTTTGCAGTACAGAAATCATTTGGAGCCATTTTGAGACAAGACATCATTGGAGCAGGGGCTCTGTCAAATCAATACTGCATTGCAGCTTGGTCCATTTAGCCATACCTGGGATATGAAAGAAGCTTCTACGTTTTATCTGCCTTATACATTTCTTTCCCATTTTCTCATCAATATTACTAGGTTAAAACACCGTATACAGGCTTCCTCCAAAATGACTCACGAAGTCAAAGTTTGATTTGGATTTTGAGGCCCACGTGAACCAAACATGTTGCTGTGCCATGTAGAGACTGTCGTAATACTTGACAGGACAGAATGTAAACATACAGGAAAAAAACAGGAAAGCTGCCCCATATTGTGGATGTTCAATTTAGAATCTCAATGTCCAGAGGACAGCTGGCACACACCAATTGTACTGATCCAGTTCTTGAGCAGCAGAAGCACATAATTGCAAAGGCTACACTGATTAAAAGATACAAATACTGTATCAAGTTCTCTATCAGTAGTACAATTAAAAAAAAAAACCGATCCTTCACTTGGGGGAGAAAGCCAGTATTAGTTAAACTGAACAGAATGTGATAACCTGCCAATTCTGAATAGCCGCTCCATGAAAACAGGTTAATACATGATATTAGAAAGGGGAGGAAGATTGACTGGTGCAGTGCTCTGCAGTCTCAGATTACAAAAGCAGGCCTTAAAATATTGATTTCATAGAATACGCATCATTGGTAAATCTTAACTTTGTCCTAATCAGAAAAGAGCTGTCAGAGCTGTTAGTCTTCCCCATAGATATCATTTTTCTTGCGCTTCATTTCCTCAAAGTCAAACTCTGACCCTGTCATCCTCATATAGATGTCTTTAATGTCATCACAGGTGGTCTCAAAGTGAGTTGTAGCATCATAAGCACGAGAAATAAAGATCTGGAAATAAAAAACAATGGATTTTAAGTGAAATTTATCCCAATAAAACCTGTAATGATTTTTCAGATTAATCTCCACTCACCTGGCTTTCATTTCCCAGATCTTTTGGTACAAGGAGGTCACTGATGCTAACAAATCTAGGAGAGAAAAAGAATCAAGAGGTCAAAGACCCCATACCAACTCATTCCTGTCTGAAATTCAAAACCCAAAGGATGAGGCTAGAGAGAACAGTTTCCCCACAGCCACAAGTGATTTGTCTGTGCTCTGCTCAGGAGTCACAACTGGCATGGCTAGGAGTCAAGCCTAGGTTGCTAGGCCAAGGGCCCAAACAGCTATGCAATTTGTCCAGCCAGACTCCCGGACCCCAAGTCAAAATCAAAACCCAGCATTTGACTATTAGCGGTTATGAATGAATGTGCTGCTTACTTCTGTTCAATTGGTTCCAGAAGCTCCAGTGCGGGTCTGATTTCTTTCTCAGGTTCCTTGGTCTCCACAGTGGTGCTGACGATGGCAATGTACTTCCCTTGAGCCGCCACATTGTGTGCAGAGGAGATCAAGCAGACGTAGATATCTAGAAACAATCCAGTTCATTGTCAATGTCTCTGCACCTCACCAAACTAGGCAGCAGGCACCAGATTGACTAGACAATCTGGGTGACAATGATGGGTGGCAGCAATTATACTGTGACCTGGCGGCCTTCTGTGACTGTTTACATACAGGTGGGGCCAAAAATTTCTTCTCTCGGCCCTGCCACAACTAACTGGAAAATTGGCAAACCTAGTTATCGAGGTGTCTCACACCCAGAACCCTGCACAAAGAACTTGTATAATAAAAGCTAAGATGAATACTAATTTGTCATTTATTAAAGTCAAATCAAACTAAGTTAGTAGAAACTATTACTAGATTGGCATGACAAAGTTCTATGGACTCTATTTGCATGTTACTGAAGTAATGCCAAAATTTTCAATGTGGAAAACCATCACTGGGTTCTCTTAACTCTTACTGGACTTTCAGATTTAGAGCACATGCTAGGGAGCCCTTCAAACCCGAGTCCCTTTCTACACCCAATCAGATCCTAAGACGCACCTGACTTTCGATTGACTTGGTTCTGTGGAATAATAATCTGGCAGGAGTTGGCATCGTTGGTGTTCTTGATGGGATGGCTGAGGATACAGATAACTCTGATGACTTGGCCCACTTTTTCTACCCGATCTTTTACATAGCTTGGATCACAGATGAGCTGCTTACAGCGGGCAATCTATAAGAAAATAATATTCAGTGTCCACATGTTTTAGATAACTATTTTCCCTTGAATATATTAGTAAATATTAACTATGGCTAACAAAACAAGCTCTGCCAATCATCCTTACAAATTCTGGAATAGATACATGAATTCTAAATCTTATTCAAATATAAATATTTAGAAACCAGGGGCCAGAGTGATAGTACAGCAGATAGGGCACTTGCCTTGCACAACCCAGGTCTGATTCCCAGCATTCCAGATGGCCCCCAAGGCCCACCAGAAAGGATCTCTGAGCAAAGAGCCATGAGTAACCCCTAAGCATCGCCTGGGTGTGGCCCAAAACCAAAAAATAAACCAAGCTCCATCCCCAAGCACAATCCGCACTGGGCCTTCACCAAAATACACACACACGCACAAATGTGTGTGTGTGTGGGGGGGGGGGGGGAATGAATGTATTTGAGGTCACTACTTATACATGGATATAAAGTAAAGTAAAGGCCCTCCCGTTGATCATCGATTTGCTTGAGCGGGCCCAGAACGTCTCCATTGGAGACTTTGTTGTTACTGTGTCTGGCATATTGAATACTCTCGGCAGCTTGCCGGGCTCTCCGAGAGGGGCGGAGGAATCGAACTCGGGTCGGCCATGTTGGCTGCGTGCAAGGCAAATGCCCTACCTGCTGTGCTATCGCTCCAGCCCACATGGATATAACCAATAAAAGGTTGTTTTTTGGTTTTTTTTTTTTGCTTTTTTGGGTCACACCCAGCGATGCTCAGGGGTTCCTCCTGGCTCTGCACTCAGGAATTACTCCTAGCGGTGCTCAGGGGACCATATGGGATGCTGAGAATCGAACCTGGGTCGGCCGCATGCAAGGCAAACGCCCTACCTGCTGTGCTATTGCTCCAGTCCCCTAAAAAGTGTTTTAATAGACCAAAATCATACTCATCTTAAGACTACACTAGGAGCTAGAGACATGGGACAGGGCTTAAAGCACTGGCCTTGCACACAGCCCACATAGGGTTAACGTTCAGCTCTGCATATAGGTTCCCCAAACACCACCAAGAGAAGCCCCTCAGCAATGCTGGCTGTGCCCTCCAAACATCCCATGCCTCCTCCATTAAAAAGACTACCCTAGAGCTGGCACAGCAGGAAGGGCCTTTGCCTTTCATGAGGCTGACCCAGGCTCAATGCCTGGCATCCCATATGGAACCCCAAGCAATGCCAGGAATGACTCCCAAGTACAGAGCCAGGAGTAACCCAAGTATCACTGGGTGTGACCCAAAAAGCAGGGAAAAAAAACAAAGACTAGGCTAAAATACTTCCCCTTTTCGTTTTTATTTAGAGGCACAAGCTGTGCTCGGGGTTTATTCTTGGCTTGACGCTTAGGGATCACTCCTGGCAAGGCTCAGGGGCTCAGTGCTTCTTGCTTGGACAGTTGGCAATGTGGTGCTGTGTTCCGGTGGTTCTCCAGGCTGGCCCTACAGTAGTAACATCTGTTTCTGATCTATCAACTGTATCAAGCCTTTGAGTCATTATGAATAAACCAACTTACCAGAAAGACTATCTCTGAAGCCAGTGAGCAGTCTCACTATCTGGCTTCAGCGTACAAACCAAATTATATGCATATTTGGCTCATGAAAATGTCTTCACATGGGTAGAACATTTTCTTAAACTGAAAAAGCTACTTACTTCTCCTTCAGACTTTACACCAACCACTTTCCCATTTTCCACGATGATTTCTTCAATTGGCTTATTCAGCATGTAGGTACCGCCATAAATAGCACTTAGTCTAGAAAAAATTTTTTTACAATCTATGATTGTTTCAGTTATTAAAATCTCCTTTGATAACATGGGCTTACAGGCATATTTGTTTCCTTTCCTCCCAGATGATGTTAAACATCCTTTGTGTGTGGCATGGCTCGGGGGCTCAGAAACCACGCCCAATGCCTCATCTGCAAATCAAGTGCTCTATCGCCAAGTTATGTCTCAACCTTCCCTTTTCCTTTTAGTTACAAGACAGCAGTTACCACCTTTTTTCCCCTCTCACTATATGATGCTCACTTAAAAGTCATGGCATCAGTTAGTCAAAACCATCAAATACCTGCCTATAAATGGATGGACGTGGAGAGTATCATGCTGAGTGAAATGTGTCAGAAGGAAAGGGACAGATATAAAACCACTGCACTCATTTGTGGTACATTATATATATATATTAGAAGAAAAAATATATATAGTAGAAAATATATATACATAGTATATATATAGATATATATAGTAGATACTATATATATAAATATAGAAATATATATAGATATATATAGTAAATGTTATATATATCTATATATATAGAGAGAGAGAATAGAGTTTTCCATGGCCAGGGAAAACTGGGATTAGGAGGTCTGGTCAATAGTTGGAACCACAAGTGTGAGGGGGGCAGAGGGTAAGGAAGATAGAGAAGGGACTAGTAAGGGACAATAATAGCTGAGAATGACCATGATCATCAAGATCTGAGGGTTAAAACTAGGTAAAGGGATATTCCTGATAACCTTTCAGTATCAATACTGCAAACCACAAAAATCACAATGCCCAAAAGGGTGTTGTGTGTGCATGTGTATGAGACAGAGGGAGGGAGGGGGAAAGGGAGGGAGGGGGAGGGAGGAGAGAGAGGAGGGAGGGAGGGAAATAAATTTTAAAAAAATCAAAATACCTCATAATTCACAATTCTGAAAACCAAGTCCAATGACACAAAGCATCGCCTATATGTTCAAATCCTGCATATAAATTCTCAGCAACAATCCAAAACCTACACCAAGAGGAGCTGGAGCAACAGTACAGTGGGTAGGGAACAGGACCTACCTGGTTCAATCCCCAACACTCCATATGGTCCCTGAGCACTACTGGGTGTGGCCCAAGAAAATTTAAAAAATGGAGACTTGAATTTAAGAATACAGTATCGTGTGTGTGTGTGTGTGTGTGTGTGTGTGTGTGTCTGTGTGTGTGTCTGTGTCTGTGTCTGTGTCTGTGTGTTTAAAAAAAAAAAAAACCCTGAGAGAGGGCTGAAGTAATAATATAGCGGGTAGGGCATTTGCCTTGCAAACAACTGACCAAGGTTTGATTCCCCGGCATTCCATATGGTTCACCAAGCACCGCCAGGAATAATTCTGAGTGCAGAGCCAGGAGTACTGAGTATCACCAGCTGTGACCCAAAAAGCCAAAAAAAAAAAATAAAAAAAAAACCCTTGAGATTAAAATCATGAGAGCCAGAGAGTGCATAAGGGTAATGGCTCTGGCCCTGCATGTCTGTCTGATCTCCAGCACCAGCATTCCCTGAGCACTACGGGTCATTTCTGAGCACAGAGCCAGGAATAGCCCTAAAGTACCACCAAGCAGGGCCCCCAAACCCCCAAAATAAATGATTAAAAGTATAATGAAAATACCTGAGAGGCCAATGACCCTGAAAGACAACAGAAGCCTGCGCTGGGGGTGGGGGTGGGGGGGGGGGGGAATCTAAAAAACAAAAACCAGAAAACAGCAGAGAAAGAAAATAAGCAGACCCTGAGTGAGTCTGACAGTAAAAGGATCTGACAAAAATCAGCGCCCAAGCTATGAGAGAAAAGGGGCTGATACCTGAAGCTAGATGCCCTTTTAATTAAAACTTTTTCTAAACACCCAAACAGTTTAACAAATCTCAAGCAAGATCTTGTCTAAACAAATTTGGTGACCCTATCAAAGAAACAAAATCTTAAAAGCGGCCAAAGAGCAACTAACTACTGACACCAATGACAACTTTTCACAATGAACTGAGCAGGCTAAGGCACACAACAGCTTTTAGTTTTTGGTTTAATTGGCTCTGTGCTCAGGGGACCTTACGTATTGGGATAGAACTTGGGCCTCCTCCTAAGCCTGTCCAGCTCTCCTGCCTCAGGGACCAGCCAAAGTGAAGAGAAATCATAAAAACAACCCAGCAGGCATGAGAGCCAGCAGAGTGGCAGCAGCTCTCAGCGCTCTAACAGATAACAACCAAAATCACCACTTTGCCTTGGCCGGACCCCACCAACTCAGGACAAAGTTTTCCAAGAAACTAAACTGCCAAAAGTCAGGTATGTGGGAGCCACGCCCACAAACCATCTCCAGCTCAGTCATATAAGCTCATTTATATCGGCCTTGCTCCAGAGACCCATAAATCAATCTTGAAAGAGATCGAAAGCTTCAGTTAATCTCTGACCCATACAAAGCTAAACAGACAGGGAAGATCAGAGTGGGGCAGGCCAGCCTGGTGCCCACCAAGCAGAGCCCCCGCCATGCCCGGCTAGACTCCAGCGTTTTGGGACAGACGTCACTGAGATATTAATCTGCTGAAAATTCAGGTATGTGGGTTTCATGACAGAAATCTCCGGGTTTTCTCTGAGTTGGAATGGGCTACCCTTCCCCTACTCCCCTATACTTCTGAAAGCCTTGGCAGTCACATCCATACCCCAAAGCTGTCACCCAGTTAAATATGCTACTCGAGACTTATCTTCCCAATAAAAATACTGAATGCCTTGAACAAACATGATGACATCTTGACACCTGTACTGCAAACCATAATGCACAAAAGGAGAGAAATAGAAAGAAGAAAAGTGCCTGCCATAAAGGTAAGTAGGGGGAGGAATCTGTGCTGATGGTGGGAGGGTAACTGGGGACATTGGTGGTGGCAAATGTACACTTGTGGAGGGATGGGTGCTGGAACACTGTATGAGTGAAAACCCAATCAGAAACAGCTTTGTGGTGGTCTATCTCATGAGTATTCAATCAAAAAAAACTAAACAATATCATTTTATACTCCTTGATAATTAAACAGACTGACAATAATAAATATTAAAAAGAATGGAGAACAATTAAATCTCCGAATATACTGCTGAGTTTTCATAAAATAAGGTACAACTACTCTGGAAACAATTTCTTAAGAAGTTAGTTATCTTGCCAATCAGCAATTCAAATTCTGGATATTGTCCTCACACCTATGTTTACGGAGTCTTTTATAAGCCTAAGACAAATGTAGCACTGTCCTGTAGCACTGTCCTCCTGTTGTTCATCAATTTGCTCAAACAGGCACCAGTAACATCTCCATTGTGAGACTTGTTACTGTTTTTGGCATATCAAATACGCCACAAGGAGCTTGCAAGGCTCTGCCGTGCGGGTGGGATATTCTTAGTAGTTTGCTAGGCTCTCCAAGAGGGATGGGGCAATCGAACCCAGGATGGCCACGTGCAAGGCTAACGCCCTACCTGCTATGCTACTGCACCAGCCCTAAGACAAATGAATGTCTTTCTTATATTAGCACTGTAGCACTGTCCTCCCGTTGTTCATCGATTCGCTCAAGCAGACACCAGTAACGTCTCCATTGTGAGAGTTGTTGTTACTGTTTTTGGCATATCAAATATGCCACAGGGAGCTTGCCAGGCTCGGCCATGTGGGCGGGATACTCTCAGTAGCTTGCAGTGCTCTCCAAGAGGGACTGAGGAATCAAACCTCGGTCAGCTGCGTGCAAGGCAAATGCGCCCATGTCTTATATTAGTTTCTTTATATGAATTTCAAAAACAGGCAAAATCATCTACAGTGATAGAAATCACAAATATAATAGCTATTAAGTGATTACATGAGGTGATAGAAGGAAACTTTCTGGATGATTAGAAAGGTTTTATATCCCGACTGGAATTCTGGCTATCCAGATCTGTAGTCATCAAACACAAATTATTCAACATAGTGTTACATTAATCATAAATTTTACTCAAACTTTTAAAAAGAAAACTTTCTGACAGGCATATCATTCACAACTGTATCTCATTTACTTCCACAGAAGAGCAGAACAGGGTCCGCAGGGTTTAAATTTAGCAACTCCATTAAACATGGGTTCTCACCTGGCAAATCCTTGTGGCAGTTCTCCAAGGCCATAGAGTGGATAAAGATATGGGCTTTTACCATATCTTGCCAAGGATTCACTGTAAAGTTTAATCCGATTAATGGTTTCACAACATGGCTGATCTAAATAACTGAAAAGGAAATGGATATTAGAAAAGGGCTTTAGATTTCATTCTCGTGTTCAATTTAGAATTCTCTGAAGCTGTAACATCAGTAACATCATTTTTCACTTTTAAAAGGCCTAATATAAAATTCTAATTAGAGCCTCTTTATTTCATAGCATATAAGGAAACTCAGTAAGTTTGGCAAGGAAACGATAAATCTAAAAGCCAAAACTCTTACTCATCAGTTCTATAAAGGGCTAGGGCATGGCCAGTAAAATCTATGACATCTTGGCCCAAGTCAAACTTCTTGTACACATCCCGCATCGTCGTCTTCACAGGATCAATACCCTCAAAGGTCCGAGGATCTTTCTCATCAAAATTGGCAACATACACTAGGAATTTTCTGAATCGACGTTTTTCAAATAGCCCCATTAAGCCTAGAAAAGAAGTTAAAAAAACAAACAAAAAAAAAATTCAGACTAGGACACTGAGGGAAAATAACAAAGTTTTAATGGTTAACACAGCCTTGAAGAGAAACTCCCAAAATTTCATTTGCAACTATCTTTTGATGTTTTTAATGTTACTTTCCTCATAACTATAGTTAAAACCAACAAAACTGAAAACTGTAAATGATCATAAAGCTACACAGCTGACTACATCTAATCTTTTTATTCACAGTGTGTAGGCAGAAGGCATCATTCAGAGGAAAAGGAGGAAGTCCAGAGGAAAAGGCCACTTCTCAGATTTAAGTTGACAGGTGGGACTGATCTCAGCATAAGGAAACAAACATGCAGGGCTCATCATTCAGGAGTCAGACCCTGGAGGAACCAGAGCTACTGTACTGGAAAAAGTACAAGTAGGGAGGGTACTTGCCTGGCATGCAGCTGACCCAGGTTTAATCCTGGGCACCACGTGATCCCTTGAACCATATCAAGATCCCTGAGCAGAAAACCAGGAATAAACCTACGAACTGTGCCCCAGAAACAAAATTCACAATTAACATGAAGCTACTGGGGCTAGAGCTCCCCAGTGGACAGTGTTTGTCTTACACAATGCCAACCGGATTGGATCCCTGACACCTCATGTGTTCCCCAAGCCCCGCCAGGAGTTAGTCCTGAGCACTGCCAGGTGTGGCCTCAAAACAAACAAGAAAACCACAAAGACTAAAGTTACTACCAACAGTTTATTTTCAAGTTATCTTAAAATTTTTTACTCAACCATAGAAACTTATTGTTCCAATAGCCTGCATTTCCTGCCAAGTCAGCCAAACCTCCGCAATAAACTCATCTATTTTGTTTGAAAAAAATCAGTAAAACTTCTCTCATTTTCTTCCATTTTCTCTCTTCACTGGGCTGATCAGGACAGCATTGGACCCGCTCACTCCACCCTATTGCCGCCGTAACAGACGCACCAACTAGCATGCTCCACCACTACCACCGTCCAGGGCCCAGACAAGAAATGCTTTTTTTTTAAGGCACTGCTCATTCTCAAAAGTCAGAGTCACAGGGTGAGATAACATCTCTAACTGAATTTTACAGAAGCAGCAGTCAGAGGCAATAATCCCCTCTATAGATAGCAGCACTATCCCCTCTCAGAGGCAATGCCACTTGTATTCCCCAGCACAGCCATACCTGCACTCTCGAGAACCCCTCGACTGGGTGACACTGCAGCTCTGTGTGAGCCAGCAAGTACAAGTGCGCCAGCACCGCAACCCAGACTGAACAACCCCCAGTAAACCCCACAATCCAGAGTCAGCGGCCCCCAGTGAGCAGCACACCAAGTATTAGGGATGATAAATAGTCAGGGTAGCAGCAACAATGCAGGGAGAAGGTGGGAAAAGTCTTCGCCAAATTGTTTATAATTTGTTTTATGTTCATGACTATCATAAGCAATCATGCCCTAGGCCTGAACTCAAATTCTTTAAGCCAGCCTGTCACCAGCTCCAGCAAGGAGGAAAGCGGCAGGCAAACTGCCGCAGAATTAAGCAAAGACAACGTAACACTGAGATCTGAACACTGTGTGGGTCTATGCAGGCAAGCTCCACCCTGCAGGTCGCTGTAGGTTCTAGGCAGCAGTGGGTGTCAGCAGGGAACTGGGACTGTCCATCAAAGGCCCACAGAAGGAGTTATCTGCCCTCAAGGGACCAGCATGGCATCACTGGAAATCAGTGTTACAATTCCAATCCCACAACTATTACCTAAGTCACTTCAAGCCCCAGTTCCTGATCTATAAAAATAGGAACCCCACCTCATTAAAGATATCTTAAACATCAAAATTAGAAAATCCTAGTGCTTAGCTCAGGACCAAAAACACAGGAAACCTCAAAAAATAGCAGCCTTTTTGAGTGACCATTTTGCAAAGAGTATTGCAGAAGCCCAGATTCAACACCAAAACACTGCATCACACAGAGCAAGCAGGCCACTTAACTCTATGCTCCCATGGGCTGGAGAGATAGTACAGCAGGTAGGGTATTTGCCTTGCACACAGCTGATCTGGGTTCTATCCCCAGCATCCCATGTGGTCCTCCAAGCACCACCAGGAAAATTCCTGAGCACAGAGCCTGGAATATTCCTTGAGCATTGCCAAGTGTGGCCCCAAAACAAAAATAATAAAAAAAATAAACTATGCTTCAAAGGGGTCTAGGTTCCTTACTCTTCTGTTCTCGGTCTATTCTCAGAGGCACCTAAGTCACTTAACAGAAGCCAGATGACGAGAAAAGGGATGGAGAAAGATCTATTTCCACTGTCAAATCTTCCTAGTCTGAGAAAATAAAACGACTTACTAGAGGCCAGGGCTTCTGCTTCAGTAGAAGGAACTTTGTAGATTTTCCCTCCTTTGTAGACAAAACTTCCTTCAATCACTTTGAAATCCAGATAGCGCGTGACCTCTGTATAAAGCAGCATCTTAACCAGCTGACCTGTGAATTACAGAATTCACACATGACTGTAAATCAACTTCAAAAATTAGCAAATTGAAAATGCATTTACTCACAAGCTTGCAATTTTTTCTTACCATTGTCCATTAACTCCCACAAAGCCTCCCAAAAAAGCCTCTAAGAGAGGGTGGCAAGGAGGGACACGCGCAGTGCCAGGGAGCAAAGCACGCAGCTCCAGCTCTCTGAACTTCTCCCCAGTTCCAATTTGGATTTGTCCTGTTGGGGGGTAGCAGGTCCCAACTGGTGTTCAAGGGTCCTAGGCGGCAATTCTCAATCAAGAACCATCCTGGCTGGCAATTCTGTTCAGGAACCTGAGGAGTGTTTTGCCAGGCCCTGCAGTGCCAGATATAACCCATGTCACCCCAGTGGTGGTTGGGGAGCTCCAGAGCCTCTGTGATGCTTGGTGAACCACGTGGTGCTGGGGATCAAACTAGAGTCAGCATCATGCATCATAACGCTTGTACCAGCTCTCCAACCACCCATCAGTGGGGAGAATATGAATAGCATCCACTTAGCATTTTGGGGGGGGGGGTGGGAATGTTTGGGCAAAACCAGCTATTGCTCACGGGCTACTCCTGGCTCACTTCCCACATGCAAAGCACGCACTCTGCCCGAGTTAACCTCCTGCCGTTTTTAAAAGGGGGATTCACAGGGCTGGAGCAATAGCACAGAGGGTAGGGCATTTGCCTTGCATGTGGCCGACCCAGGTTCGATTCCCAGCATCCCATATGGTACCCCCAAGCACCGCCAGGATTAATTTCTGAGTGCAGAGCCAGGAGTAACCCCTGTGCATCGCCGGTGTGACCCAAAAAGAAAAAAACGGGGGGGGGGGATTCACAGATAAAATTTCCTAAGGATTTGGGGCTTCGTGGTTTCTTCTTTCTCTGTGGTGCCAGGGATTAAATGCAGGGCTTCACTTCTGTGAACTGAAGGACACAGGACACCACTAAGCTACACCCAGCCCGAGGATTCTCCAAGACAACTTACTTTTACTAAAATGAAAATTAATTCCAGGAAAAGAAAAAGCCAGGCAATTTAAAACTCTGACGGGCCCAGGGTGACAGAGTGAGAGCTGGGTACACTGAACACTGATCCTGGCACCAGGAACAGACCTGAGAACAGAGCTGAGAGGAGACCCTGCACCCCCCAGGGCATGGCACAGAGACAAAAATAAAACCACAATAACCAGCAGAGGGAGCGTTGAAAAATGAGGGAGACCAGAAACAAACTTTTCTGAAAAACCAAATAATCACTATGAAGTTCTATTTTGGGGGAGCACCTCCTAGGCACTATCCAGTGGGCCCAGAGGCCAGCAGTGCCAGAGGCTACCAGGGGCACACTTAGCAGTGTTTGGGGAACCAGGCAGTACTGGGGTTCAAACTTGGGCTTCTGAATACTAAGTGGGTGCTCCAGCCTTCCGGGCTTCTTAAAACTCATTTGAAAGGACAAACTCACAGAATAGTCAAGAACTTTTTTCCCCACATATGCAAGGCTCTGAGTTCAGTCCCAGCGCCGCATTAACCATGGTGGCTAGCCTGATGGCCCTCAACACCTCTGGGGGTGGCCTCTATAAAATAATTTCCCATAGTGATAGTACAGTGGGTAGGGGCAAGCACCTTGCACACAGTCAACCAGGTTTGATCCCTAGCACCCCAAATGTTACCCCTGAGTGCCTCCAGGAAGAGATCCCTGCATGCAGACCAGGACTAAGCCAGGACTAAGCCCTGAGCACAGAAATGAATGGCCCCAAAACAGAACAAAACAAATTCCCTCCTTTGCAAACAAGAAACAGAAGGGTTTATGCAGTCAGGTTCAGTTAGATTAATCCCTCCAGTGATCTAAGATTGTCACAAAAGCATCAAAACAAATCTCGACCTTTTAAATTCATTTGTTTTGCTTTTTGGGTAACACCTGGCGATGCTCAGGGGTTACTCCTGGCTCTTTACTCAGGAATTGCACCCAGCGGCACTCAGAGGACCATATTGGGTGCCAAGGATTGAACCTGGATCAGCTGCATGCAAGGCAAACATCTACCCATTGTACTATCGTTCCAGCCCTTAATGTTGACAATTTTGATGCATACTGTGAACAGGTCATAATTTTGTTTCTCCAAAACCAATTATTAATAAATCATCCCTTTCTCCCTCCCTCTTTTACTGACTCAAACACTGCCAACAGACCATTATTACTCACAACACTGACATTCAAAATCAATTTTCAAATGTCTAGACTAATACTCTCATGAGTCAGTTTCAACACTGGCTGCCCTAGACTTCAGCAAGCTTTCCTTACCATTTGCCATAAGGAACTTGGGGATTAAGTCAACATTCCAATCTCTTCCTCTCCCCATTGATGGTGAAGGTGTTCCTGGTAGTTTGTATCTTTTGTATAACTAAAGCAAAGAAAAATACTGATAAGAATTTATGTTATGCAATTTTCTTCAGTGCCAGAGATTAAAGTCAAACCCTCATTTCCGTACAGCAGGCACTCCACTACTAAGCCACAGTCCTGGCCCCCAATATTTAAGTGATTTGGATAGGCTAAGTAAAACACTATGAGGTAGCATTTAATTTTCAATCTGGTAAAAAAATCTTACAAAATTCCCTATGTAAATTAAATATGTAAATTAAATATATTTCTGAACAAATACAGGCTAAAATAGCTATACAAGCACAATTTTTCACTACCAGAAAAAAAAAAAGCACAACAATTTATCAATGACACTGTTTTACACCTACAGATACATTTCTTATTATTTGTAAAAATCACTTAAACTCCTCTCCAAAACAAAAAAAGCTTTACTTGGGCCTGGAGAGAGAGGAGTACAGCTGGTAAGATGCTTGCCTTACATGTGGCCATACCAGTTTTACTGCCAGTACCACATACTGTCCTCTGACCACCACCTGTGACCTCTGAACAAAGATAGGAGTAGGAGTAGTCCCTAAGCACCAGCAGGTGTGATTCAACACAAGTTTGCTCAAACTGGAACTATGGCTGGGGTGTGGCTGGGGTACATCGGCTCTTCAAAAGTGTTCTTGTCCATAAACCTCTCTAGTTCATTAGTGCAGGTAACTGCCCCAGAAGACAACAAACTGCTCCAGATAAAGTGCTCTTCTTCGTGCACCTTTCTAGGTCCATTAATGCAGATAATGGCTCCAGAGGGCAAGAAACATTTAAATTTCCACGAACCTCAAACTAGGAACTTCTGAAAACAATAATGCTACCAGTAAATTTAATAAAATTTAAAATAATCAGGCTTGGCGCCAGAGAGACAGTAGTACAGCAGGGAAGGCACTTGGTTTGCCTTGGCAAACAGCTGACTTGAGTTTGATGCTGGATCCCCGGCATCACATATGGTCCCTCAAATCATTGCTGGATATAGCCCAAAGACAAAACAGAATAAATTAAAAAGCAAGCAGCCTTGCTCCTCAAGCCCATGTTCTCCCTTGAGGATGTATCTCGCTGACTCTGTCTCTGCCTGTTCTGTTGGTGCTTTCAATTGTGTGTTCTCTCCTAACTCCACTCCCATCTTTCTTTGTGTCTTTCTAAGTCTCCTTCAATAAAAACTATCCTGATTGGGGCTGGGGAGAGAGTACAACAGGTAGGGCGCTTGCAACCCAGGTCTGACCTCCAGCATCCCATAAGGTCCCCTGAGCATCAACAAGAGTGATTACTGATCTGAGCTCAGAGCCAGGCAGAACTAAGACCTAAGCACCACTGGATGTTGTCCAGAAACCAAAACCAACAAAAAAGAAAAACTTCAACTATCTTGCTTTGCTAAAAAAAGTAATTCAATAAAGAATAAAGATGACAGTACTCACAGAAAATCACTCCAAGTATGAAAGGCAGAGTAATCTGTTTGAATACTTACATCTTCCAGTGGTGTTATAGAAGCACTTTCTCCTCCGTAATATGGGTTTCTGTCCATGTGAAGAACCTTCTTTCCATTCACTGACATTATACCTGACAGGATACATTCCTATGAGAGAAGCATAAGCAGCTTCAGAAGCATGAAGGTGGGACCTGGAGATCAGCTCAAAGTGCAAGGCCACCTGCTTTGCATGGGGGAAGCCCCACTTTAAGGCTGAGTACATCATGGTCCCCCCCCCAAACACCACGGAGACACCAGGAGTGACCCTCAAGTCTATGTGGCCCAAACAACGAAAAGATCAGAAAATGGGGCAGGGATCTATGCATTGGGGGGGGGGGGGGGGGAGGGGGAGCTGGAACAAGAGTTCTGGATGAAGGTCTCCCAAGCACGGCCAGCTGGCTCTGGAGCCCCTCAAGTACCTGGCCAGAGCAGCAGAGCACCCTCAGGTCCTCTCATTCAACCACAGGCCTGGCTATCCAACTACTGCCTGGGAGACTTCCCCTCAAATCATAACATAGCTTATCATTAAACGTCCGTTCTGTAATTAACTTACATATGTGCAATCTGGGATATAATTTAAGGACACAGCCCTCAAGCAACCAAGGTTCTAAGTGACCCCTGCAAGCCCCAAACCAAACTGTTTTCATGAGCCAGGGAGAGGAGAAGGCTTGAAAGGCTGTAGCGCACTTTGTATGCTGGACTCCCAGGTTCAATTCCCAGAACCCCAACTTCTGCCAGCTATGTCCAAAACAAAAGCTATTTTTGACATAACACGAATATGATTTACTTCTCCTATACTGATACTTGTGACATTACTAGTTCAAGATCAAAGGTGGATCAACTACTCTAGTCACTGTATCTTCACCACCAAACACTCACAGTTTCATATTGCACCACACTCAAGAGAAAGCTAGTTTCACTTAAGAATTAAGCATGCCCTTGATGATGGGGGCCAGAGAGATAGCACAGTGGGCAGGGTGCTTGCCTTATAGGTGGCCAACCAGGGTTTGATCCCCATCTACCTATATAGTCCCTCAAGCACCGTCTGGAATGATTCCAAGTGCAGAGACAGGAGTAACTCCTGAGCATCACCAGGTATGGCCCCAAGAGAATGCCCTCGATGAAATACTAAAAGTTATCTCTGTGAAGTATGCATCTGTAAGAACCATCTACTCAATATTCTGTGTGGCAGGTCAAGGACATAGATCAGAGGTAGAGCATTTCCTTTAAGGCCCTGGGTTCAATTCCCAGTACCACATCACACACAGTACAAGGACTGCTGGGGACAATCACTAAGCACCACACTGGAAGTAATCCCTTGGCATGGTCGGCTGTGCCCTCCCCCAGGGAAAAAAAAAGTTCTGTGTGGGGGCTGAAGCAATAACACAGCGGGTAGGGCATTTGCCTTGCATGCAGCTGACCTAGGTTCGATTCCCAGCATCCCATATGGTCCCCTGGGCACCGCCAGGAGTAATTCCTGAGTGCATAAACCAGGAGTAACTCCTGTGCATCACCGGGTGTGACCCAAAAAACAAAAACAAAAACAAAAACTAAAACAAAAAAAGTTCTGTGTGGCAAAAGAGGAAATACACATTACTCAATTCTGGCTCCAGAAAACCTTCTATAAAAATGATTCATAAGCTAAAATAGCTACTACTTTTTTCATGGATCATCATATAAATTCATTACTCAGACATTTGGTAGACATGTTTCATAAAGATAAACATTAAGGATTATAACAGTATATCCTGCCAAAGAAAAATGTAAAAAAAAAAAAACCCTGGAAATCTGGGAAACTCCCATCAACTTCAGGGGTATATCAAAACTCAATAGCACTGTAGCACTGTCCTCTCGTTGTTAATCGATTTGCTCAAGCAGGCACCAGTAACATCTCCATTGTGAGACTTGTTACTGTTTTTGGCATATTGAATACACCACGGGTAGCTTGCCAGACTCTGCTGTGTGGGCGGGATACTCTGGGTAGCTTACTGGGCTCTCCAAGAGGGACAGAGAAATCGAACCTGGGTTGGCCACGTGCAAGGCAAACGCACTACCTGCTGTGCTATCACTCCAGCCCATCAAAACTCAATACTCATAAGGAATTTTTAAACACTAGCAATATTAACAGAGAAATTGTTTTGGCTTTGGAAGTCATACCCAGCAGAGCTCAGGGCTTACTCCTGGCTGTGCTCAAGCTGGCCATGTGCAAGCCAAGTGTACTAACTGGATAGATCTGTGTTTTTGAGAAAATTCACTGTATGATGCAAGGTGTGAAGAATTCAAAAGGGGCTGGAGCAAAAAAGCAAAAAAAAAAAAAAAAAGATTTGTACTACTTAGGAAACCAGTATTTTCCAAATGACCCAGAAGTATTGCTAAACCCAAAGAGAACTAACAGAAAACCAGAGAAAGGAGGTAGCTCTGAGCTTAGGGATTGCTCTGCACACAGGAGGCTTGGGTCTGACCACCAGCACATAGTCCCCTGAGCACCACTGGGAGCAACACTAAGCACAGAATCCCCCACAAACAAAATCCAAAACCAGAATTTCAGTTAGAATAATCCCTAACCCAGCTACCCCTAGGACTTCTCACAGCAAAGGGGCTCTGATACAAACTGAATAAATGAACTGTACAGCATATACTCTGATCAACATTGTGTCTTACAAGATCCAGCTATGTTTTGTGTATGATCATAATCTTAGTGCCATAAAGCAGAGGTTTCAAAGGACCTCAGGAAAATCCAGTGTTTGGGTTATTTTGAAAAGATGAGGTTTCCTTGTAAACGCATGCTCACCAAACATTTTCAGAATCCAAGTTCTTTCTGGTAGTGATGGCCCCTATTGGCACTTCATACTGCTCGACACAATGAGGTCACTAGGGAAAGCTGCTCAGTGTGCAGCTGTAGGCCCAGTAAACAGCAAGGAGCTTATGGCCTGGCCTTAGGTGCAGTCAACCCCAATCATGTCTGCAGCACCACGTTTCCCCAAACCTTCACAAAAGAATAAAGTTTGCTGACACAAAGCTCTCTTCTGTGTAGCTATGTACGTGAAAAGAGAGGGGAAAAGACCCATCAGGCAAACTGATCGTGTCCACTCAGCAACCCACACATGAAACTACCAGTGAAATCACCAAAAAGCAACCAACTGTGATAGCCCCCAGACAGATCCAGATCAAACAGAGCCCAGAGAGCAGTCTGAGCACAATTTCTATATAGGAATTCTCCATGTCTGAAATAAAGTGTTCACATTTGGCTATCTGGGGACCTGTGAATGCTCAAAAATGTTTGCATAGGGACCAAAGCAATAGCACAGCGGGAAGGGCACTTGCCTTGCACGTGACTGCCCTGGGCTTGATCTCCCGCACACCATACAGAATCCCAAACCCTGTCAGGAGTAATCCCTGACCTCAGAGCCAGGTATCAGCCCTGAGCACCAGAGAGGTGGGTGGGGGAGGGGGGAAACGCGGCAGCAGCTGCACAATCACATAGTCAGCCCCAAGCACCACAATGTGTGACCCCCCCCAAAAAAAATGTTTGCATCTAAATGGTAATTACTTATAACAGATCACAACAGTCACAGGCAGGCAGCTAAATAACTAATCCAGTTTGAGTCTTTACTGTGAAAGAAAAACTGAGGCAAATCACTGTTCAAGAGTCAAAACATTTACCTAGTGGTTTCTCAACCCAAATGTCTTCCCTGTATGGTAACGGATATATGACTATACTTGCACCTATCAGGCCGTACTGCTGAAGGCTGATTCTGAAGACTGATTTAAAACCAGCCAGGAAGAAGGCTCAAAGGGCTGGAGCACATACCTGGCATGCAGGGCTCCTCAAATCTGATCCATCGCACCATTTGGCCTCCTTTGAACCACTGGATACAGCACTGTTGGCCCCCAGCAATGTCCACTCACACACACACACCCCCCCCCCCCCCCCGCAAAACCATAGAGACTGCCTGTAAGGTCTACTGCAGTGCACAGAAATGCCTGGTCAACAGCACTACAGGTAGGGGCAAGGATCAGCACTTTTTAAGCAGCAAAGCTAAAGGACGGTGTATAGATCAAGATTTTAAAATCAGGTATAATACATATCTACTCCTTGAAATTAAAAAAAAAAGAATTTAAGAGGGGTCAGAGTGACAGTACAGTGGGTAGGGCACTTGCCTTGCACACAGCCAACCTGGGTTCAACCCATATGTTCCCCTGTGCACTCCCAGGAATAAACTTTGAACATCACTGGATGTGACCCAAAAAGCAAATAAATAAATAAATAAAGGGATTAAAAGTAGTACACCTAGAATATAAACTTTTAAAAAATGTATCATACTGAATAATCAGATACCCCTGAATGTGGTTTTTTTTTTTTTTGCTTTTTTTGGGTCACACCCAGCAATACACAGGGTATACTCCTGGCTTTGCACTTGGGAATTGCTCTTGGCAGTGTTCAGGGGACCATATGGGGTGCTGGGAATTAAACCTGGGTCAGCCACATGCAAGGCAAACGCCCTACCCATTGTACTATTGCTCCAGCCCCTTAAGTGTGTTTTTCTATTTACAAATGTATCCTTATTCAAATTACTATTTACAACAAAATGAAAGCTATCGCCACCCACCGAAACAGCCATGGAAAAAGTTATCCTTATTTTATGTATTATTTCCAAGAACATTCAGGAGTCTACAGTCAATCCAAAGGTCATTTGAAAGAGCAGGTTAATTGGTGACAGACTGCAGACACATACTGAAATCAAAGTGAAAATTACCAATCCAGAGTAAGTGGGAGACTAAAGAACTCATAACACTGAACAGGCAACTGAGAAAGAAGGCCCAAGCTCCAACAAAGTGTATTAGGTTGCAATGCTTACTTTTACACTGGTTTTTCCAGCGATATTTGGGGCCACTCCCTATAGTGCCTGGAGGACCATGAAGCGCTGGGCTCCTGCACACAAAGCACCCAGGCCACGTCTTCATTTCATTACAACATACCACAGTCATTAGCCCTCATGAAGGAAATCTGCTGCTCATTGGTTGATGTTGTACCATCATTTGAAAAGGCTTTTATCTAAAAGTCATGGTACTTTAATAGGTATAAGCATGTGCAACCCCTGGCACCCCATATGATGCCCCCGCACACCCCTGATCATCACAGAAGGGGAGGGGAAATGTTCTTTAACACCGCCCTAAACCCTTCAGAGGTATATTTATACGGAAAAGTCCACTCTCATTTTATGACTTCTCTAGTAAGGTTACTTAGCAATAGTGTGAATCCTGCCACTGACTAGGATCCTGGCCACCTTGGAGATATATGGGGTGGCCCCCAGCACATTGGCCTGAAGCAGCACAGCTGACCAGAATTATGTGGACTGGTCGCAGAAGATAGGTCCTGTGCATGGCCACCAGTGAAAGCACCGTGTCTTGACTGCTAGGAGTTCTGTTTATTGGGGGGGGGGGGGGGTGTCTGTGCAGTTTGGGGGGCCACATTTGGCTCAGAGATTGCTCCAATCAAAGTTTCCTCCACAGCATGCTCTCTATACAATGAGCTATCTCTCTACCCTGTTTTTAGGGTTTTAACTCTATAAACAAAACCTAAAGAAATCTAAATAGTAAGCTCACTCCACGAACTAAACTTAAATCCAGGGACTGGAGCAATAGTAGGAAGTTCGCCTTGCACGAGGCCAACCAGAATTTAATACCCAGCATCCCATATAGTCCCCCAAACCCTGCCAGGAATGACTCCTGAGTTCAGAGCCAGGAGTAACCTCTGAACACTGCCAGATGTGGCCAAAAAAGACAAAAATAAAATCAAATAATTAAAATTAAATTCAACTTGAAGAATTTAACTTTAACGGTCTCTTCATTTAAGTCCTTACACTAAAATCCAGAGAATAAGGGACTGGGGAAATAGTTCAAGGAGCTGGAGTGCATGCAGAAGACCCAGGCTGATCCCTGGCGCTATAGGGACCCCAAGCACCTCCTTGGGTCACTCCACTGCAACACTGAGCCAGGCAGAGTGCAAAACAAACATTTTTAAGATTTATCCTTATCAACCCTGAAACAACTACTACCAATAATTGCTCTAATTTTCAAAGAAAAAAAAAATCTCAAAACAAGGGAGGAATGGCTGGTAGCAATCAAAGTTAAACCTATAAAATTACCAAGCTGGGGGCTGGAGTGATAGCACAGTGCGGAGGGTGTTTGCCTTGCATGCAGCTGACCTGAGTTTGATTCCCAGCGTCCCATATGATCCCCCAAACACCGCCAGGAGTAATTCCTGAGTGCAGAGCCAGGAGTAACCCCTGAGCATCGCTGGGTGTGACCCAAAAAGAAAAGAAAACAAAACAAAACAAAAACAAGCAAAAATAGGCTGTTGATTAAGTAACCATCTACAACTTCATTTTAATCAAAACGAAAATTTAAATAAAGTGCATTATCTTAACGTGGTTGTTTATACCAGCACCATCTTGAAAAGTAATAGCTTGTCTGGAGCCAAAGAAATAGCTCAGCGGGTAAGGTGCCTGCCTTGTATGCAGCTGAGCTGCTTTTGATCCTGGCACCCCATATGATGCCCCTGCACACCCCTGAACGCTAGGAGTAATTCCTGAGGGCAGAGCCAAGAGTAACCCTTGAGCATCGCCAGGTGTAGCCCCAGAACCAAAAAACACATAAAAGGGCCCGATCAATAATAAAAGCAGGAAGTTTTGCCTTGCATGCAGCTGACCTGGTTTAGATCCCTGGAACTCCCTATTGTTCACTCCAAGCACCACCAGGAGTGATCTCTGAAAGCTGAGCCAGATGCAAGCCCTGAGCACAGTCAGGTGTAGCTCCCAAAACAAACAAACAAAAAAAAAAAAATCAAAGAAACAATTTTAAAATCTCCTGCTTTGGGTTTGGAGCAACAGGTAGGTTTGGTAGGTCTGGGTTCAACCCCCAACACCCCAGACGGTCCCCCAAGCACCCCCAGGAGTAATCCAGACAAAAGAGTCAGGAGGAAGGAAGTCCTGAGCACGGATGGGTGTGGCCGAACCGCCTCCCCAAAACAAAACGAAAACCCACCCGCTTTATTAGATAGACCCCTTCATCTGACATCCACAAGACTTGCAACCGGCCCCCCTTCCCCCCCCCCCCCCCCCGCCCCCAGGAAATCCAACCCAAGCCCTCAATCAAAGTGACTAGAGAGCTTTCTGAGTAACCTTTTCCGGGTACCAATTTCCCAGGCAATCAAACGTCTATTTCTGCACCCCCCCAACAGAAGAAAGCCTTCAGACTTGAATTTTCTACAATCACCAGAATTCACCGTAAAAAAAAGAAGTGTCATTCTATTCTTAACTTTTTGCTTAAAAAAAAAAAGTCAAAAGACGGGCCAGGAAGGTTGCTCGCCTTCTTCCTCGCAGACGAGCAGGGTTTGCTCCCTGGCGCCCACATGGCTCCCAAGGAGTGCTCCATGAGCACTAAGGCTGGAGTGATCCCTGAGCAACCCCAGGTGACGCAAAGACAAACCAATCGAAGGATGTCAAACGAGGGGCTTGGCACACCCGCCTTGAAGCACTGCCCGGGGCCGACCCGCTCCGTCTTTCCCCTCCTCGCCCTGCACCCCGGGGTCAGCCCTGAGGCGCGTCCCCGCACCCCAAGAGTCCAGCGCGCGCGAGCCCCACGGCCTGCTCTGACGGCCACAAATCTGGAGTCGCCACCGCCGCGCACGGGGTGACTCAGGGCTCTGAGGGCCGCTCGGGCTCGCGTTATCGGGCCGAAATAACGCCGAGTCAGGATTTTCTCTGCATCTCAGGCAAGAGGAAGACTCCAGAGGGCGGATCCGGCTCTGCTCGCGGGGGCTCCCGTGGAAACAGCACGGCGGGTCCGTCTGTCGGAAGCGCCGGGCAGGGCCGCGCGGCGCCGGCCTCGCGCTCCCGACTCCCTCAGGCAGCGCCCGCGGTCACTCGCGCGCGGGCTCCCGATTCCTTCAGGCGGCGCCCGGCGGACAATGGGGCGGCCGGGCGCGGCCCGAACAAAAGGCGGCGGGGCCCGACGCTGCCCACTGCCCCGCCAGGCCTCAGGCCACGCGCGCCCCGAGCGGCCGCCGCGGGCTCGGGAGGAAACGGGCAGCCCCGCGCGGCCCCAAGCCCCCGGTCGCGCCCCGCCGACGCCGCCCGCGCGCCCCCCGCCCCCGCGCCGCGCCCCCCGCCCCCTCACCGTCAGGCCGGTGCCCAGCACGATCACGTCGTACTCCTCGTTCATGGCGGGCGGCGCGCGGGTGGCGGCGGAGGCGCGGGCTGGGGGCCGGGACGGAGCGGGACGCGGACGCCGGCGCCACCTCAGCCGGGCAGGGAACGGGCGGGGCGGCGAGCGGCCTCCGCGGGGGGCGGGCTCTCCCTAGGCGCCGGTGCGCCCGTCGCTCACGCGCGTCCCGCGCCCTCATTGGCCGCGGTGGCCTCCGCGCCCCGCCCGCCTCCCTGCCGAACTGTCGCGAGAAGGGGGCGGGCCGTCCGCGCCCCGGCTTCCGCCTCCCGGCGGGCGGCGCTGCCACGGGGTTCGGGGTGGGCGCGAGCGCGGGCGCGGGTCCCCGCAGGCGACCGGAGTGTGGCCCAGCGCCTCGTCAGCGCCGCCCCGCGCGACCCTGTCGCCTGGCCGCCGTCCTCGGCCTTTGAGCCTGCGGCCGCCACGTGGACCGCGCCCCGCCGCCGCTTTACGTAACGGGGCCGGCCCCGTGGGCCCGCAGGCCTCCCGCCGAGGCGCTTCCGCCTTGTCAGCGTCGCGGGTGCGGCGCCCGCGTGCGGCCTCCTCGGCGGAGTGAGCCGGAAGGAAAGGAAGGCCGGCGGCTGGGACAGCTGCAGGCGCGGGGCCTGCCCCCTCAGAACCCCACCGCCCCCTCAGACCCCACACCCCCCCCCACAGACCCCTCGGATCCCACCGACCCTGCAGCCCCCACAGACCACCTCAGACCCCACCGATCCCTCACAACTCCCTCACAGACCCCCACAGCGCCTCACAGACCTTCAGTGTGGCCCCAAGCCTACCAGGCCCCCAGAAGCGAACACGTCAGTGGGTCTGTGGATTTGGTTTTTTGTTTTTTTCTGCGAAGTGGGAGCAGAAAGCAGTCTTTGAGTACATGTGCATCCTTGGCATTTGTAAGCGTTGCTGCCCAGGAGAGTTTTTCTAACGAGCTAAAGACCTACGCAGAGTTTACTAGACACACTGTGAGTGCATCCAGGAAGAGGGAGTTGTGGCTTTTCTGTTGGCCAAACGGTGCCTCCACCCGTTTTTAGCTTTCCAAGTCCCTGGGGGTCATGATGGAGATATGTCTCCACCCCCCATCCAAAAAAATTGATTTATTTTATGTATGTTTACAAATGCATTATTATTCAGCTTGACAAGAGTAGGCGGAGAGTACCAACTCCAGGTGCCCAGATGCCATGCCTGCCTGCTTCCCAAGTTCACCCCCTCAGCTTGGTTTCATCTGCTTGGAGCCCTCCCTGATTGGTTACTTGCAAGGCAAGTACTATGGCTCCAACCCTGTTGGAGATTCTTAAATAGTATCTGAATATGAGGGGGCAGATTCTCTCCCTGGGCGTGATTTTTAAACATTACCCACATTTGTTAAGTGACATGAAATACTGACCCACTCTTTGGTTTGGTGCCAATTGCAGTGGTGTTTGGAGCAACTTCCAGCTGGTGCTTCACAGGTGCATTGGACAGTGCTGGTGCTACATGGTCCACGATAAGTGGCAATAAAATCCAGGTCTGGGCATGCTCCAGTCTTTTTTTGTGCGTTTGGTGGGGGGAGGTCACACTGTAGGAGTGTTCAGGTCTTAATCTTGGCTCTGCACTCTGGGAGCACTCCTGGTGGGACTCAGGAACCATATGGGGTGCCAGGGATTGAATCATCCCTACCTCATCTGCTGGAAAGGCAAGCTGCCAATCCACTGTACTCTTGCTCTAGCTTTATGAATTTTTTTAAGAGTCACACCCAGCCATGCTTTGGGGGGACGGTGTGGTGCTAGAGATTAAACCTTGGGCTCCCACATGCAAAGCAAAACCTGCACCCTTTGCCACCTCCCAGCCCAGGAACTAAATTTTTGACTAATAAGGATCCTCTGTCTGGTCCCTTACACCAAAGTTTCCTTCTGTTGGCAATGCAAGTCCTGTGATCCAAAAGGACAGAAATAAGCTAACAAAACCAAGTGAGCTGTTCTTCAACAGATTGAATCCACCCAAAATTCTATGCTTGCTTTTGGATCTTCCATCCCACCTATGCCGGCTGTCCAGAAAATTGGTAGACAAGAAATATTGTCTGTGGTGAAGTAGCTTCAAAAACACTAATTGCTGAGTGTCTCCAAGGCCATAGACTGACAGTTTCTGGTAGACTGAACCCCAGGTTTGGGGGAGGTGGTTGGTGCGGAGGAGTGGAAAGCACCATCGACCTTCAAATATTTCAAATCATTACACAAAGACTCGCACCTAGTTTATACTTGGGCATTTGTTTGCTGTTTTGCGGGGTTTTGTTGTTTTTTGGGTCAGCGGGGTTTTATTGTTTTTTTGGTCACACCCAGCTGTGCTCAGGACTTACTGTACACAGTTCTGCACTCAGGGATCGCTCCTGGTGGGCTCAGAGCACCAAATGGGTTGTTGGGGATGGGATCTGGGTTGGCCGTGTGCAAGGCAAGCACTTTACCCTCTATACTATCCACTCCCCAATTTTTTTTAAACTGTGACTTCCTCCGCACTTTACAAAAGAAGAGTCAGAAAGAAAGTTGTGTAAATCTTAGTCCCAGACTTCTTTTCCGTGCCGAATCACTACAATATTTTATCAACCAACTTTCCTCCATCCTATTTGAACCACCAGCTTCTTTTTTGGGGTAGAGGGGGCCAATACCTGGTGATGCTCAGGGGTTACTTCTTGCTTTCTACTCAGGAATTACTCATGGCAGTGCCCAGAGGACCACGTGGGGTGGTGGGGATTTAACCCATATTGGCTGCATGCAAGGCAAATGCCCTACCCGTTGTACTATCTCTTCAGCCCCCACCAAATTCTTCAACCCTGCATCAGTTCCCCCTCATGTTTTTGCCCATCTTTTTTTGTTTTAGAATCAAGTCACTGATCTAGTCCCCTCTAGATTCTCAGTACTGCCCCCCCACACACACACAAAATCTCAACACCCTTTTCTCAATAGGGTTCATCCCCTTAACTCTTTTCCCTCTTTCAACACCTTGTTTCAACCCTCCCAGCTTCATCTTGTGCTACCCTCCAAATACTGTAGTCTTTCAGTTCCTAGAATCTGGTCAGATTTTACCCCCACCAGGGACCTGTGCACCCCAGACTGTCTGTCCCCTAGCCACCCACCCTCACTTCCCCTCCTGCACCTCTTCTCACAGATGGTCCTTCCACTTCCTTAACTTCAGCTTTAAAAAAGGATCATTCTTTGGTGGGCAATGTGACTCAGTGGCAGGGCACTTGCCTGCATGTATGTAAAGCCCTGGGGTTCAATTCTCAGCACTGCCCCCCATACCCACCTACACAAAATCTCAACACCCTTATCTCAGTAGGGTCCGTCCCCGTCCCCTTAACTCTTTTTCCTCTTTCAACACCTTGTTTGCTCTTTTCATAGCGTTTTGCAAATTAGCAATTGTTTTCTGTGCCCAAAAAAAAGAGCACATCCATTTTGTCCACATCCATTTTCCCCCAAACTGCCCATCTCCTCCCATCTCCATCTCAGCAGGGTCCTAGCCCTGAACCCACTTTTCAAGTACCACCCCTGATTTTGCCTTCTCTCTTTCCACATCAATTATATTCTGCCTGTCAATCAGAATATAATTCCACAGGGCCTGGCTGCCAATGACTCCTGCACAATTCTGCTCCAACCAGAGACCACAGCAGAGTGCTGAGATCTGGCAGACAGGGAGAAACTGGGATGACTAAATAAACAGGATGGGTGAAGATGGTGAATAGGGCCTGTGTGTTGATCCCTAATCAACAACTAATGTGATGTAAAAGACACCACTTCAGATATGAGAGGCAGGACAATTTTTCATTTTGGTTTGATGTTTTGGGGTGCTTTCTTTTTCTGGGTCGGTGGAGGGGAGCAGAGACCAAACCTGGCAGTGCTCAGAGCACTGTGCTCTGTGTTCAGGGATCACTCCTGGCAGAATTCGGGGGACCATATGGAGTGCCAGGGATAGAGCCCCTGGCTGGCTTCATGCAAGGAACATGTGTTAAAGCCTGTACTCTCTCACTGGCCTGAGGGTAATACAGCTTTTCTTATAACAGAAGACATTAAGATTAATATTTCAGAATATCTCAAGCTAGAGTATAGAAAATATAAAAGTTTCAAGTCTGGATAGCAGTACTGAAGAGCAAGAATAATAAGGACCAGGGAAATAGTACAAGGTGTTTACCGTGCATGTCCCTTCAGGAGTGACTCCTGAGTGCTGAGTCAGGAGTAAGCCCTGGCACCATGGGATGTGCCCCACACACACACACACACAAAGAAGAAACTTAGAAAAGAAAGAAAGCATGAAATTCCCAAAATGTATCTCCTAGTTTCTGATGGAGCCTTTGTCCACATCCATTTCCCCCCAAACTGCCCCTCTCCTCCCATCTCCATCTCAGCAGGGTCCTAACCCTGAACCCGCTTTTCAAGTACCATCCCTGATTTTGCCTTCTCTCTTTCCACATCAATTCCATTTTTCTATGAAGCAAATGACCCAGAACCCCATGGCTTTAGGGGAAAAAAAAAGCCTGCTGGCTTCAAACCATAACTGCTGTTATCTGCTAGGTTTCTAGGGACACAGTGGGCTCAGGAGCTGGACATTGGCTGTTGTCTGTCAAGGCTGGGGCACTCACGTGAGCTTAGCTATAAAGCACTCAGCTTGTCACAATTGCACGGATGAGGCCTTGGGTTTGATCTCTAGCTACAGACATCCAACTCAGGTACTTGAAACAATGATATTGGATGCAGTATCTACTATTGGGAATTTGTTGCCAAACTTGAAAGGGGTATCGAGCAATAGTACAACTGGTAGGGCCTTGCACAAGACCGACATGGGTGTAATTCATGGCACCCTATATGTTCCTCCAAGCCCTCCGGGACAGCCAATTGTGGTCTCCCAAAACAAAACAAAACATGAAAGAGGGGCTGGAGAGCTAATAGGTGGGGTGCTTGCCTTCCACGCAACAGACCTGGGTTCACTCCCCAGCACCCCATATGGCCCCCCAAGCCCTGTCAGGAGTGGTCCCTGTCTACAGAGCCAGGAGCAAGCCCTGAGCATCCCCAAGTGTGGCCAAAAACAACAAAAATTAGAGATTTCCAAATGTCTATGGTCCTTCTTTCCCCTTTTCAGAAAAAGATTA